GATTGGTAGTACAATGCCAGGATGAACGCTCGCAGAATTTAGTAATTATTATTTTAAAAATATATATACACTTTATACTTAAACTAAAAATTTATATTTTATTTTTTTATATTATTATAATTAAAATTTATTAAGTTTTACTTTTTACTGCGTAAATTAAGTTGACTTATGATATATATTTTTTAGATTCATTAATTAATATATTATTTTTACTAGAATAAGGAATATTTTTTAGATTCATTAATTAATATATTATTTTTACTAGAATAAGGAATCTGCTTTGAAAGTTCTTCGTCTGCGACTTTATCAACAGGAGCAGGAAAGAATTCGAAAAGAAAGATCTCAACTTTATAAGAGCCAAGTAATTAATTTACTTAAAATAATTTTTATTTAAAAAGTATAAATTTCTTTTGGGTGACGCACCTCCCATTTTATTAAGCTTGGATTATTTTTTAAAAACAATTAATTTCTGTGATTAAAATTGAAGGAAAAGTTTTTTAACTTTTTTGCTTCATTCGAAGTATTATTTTGTTCGGAGTCACTAAATTAAACAAGGAGTTCAGGGGGAAATATATATATATATAAATTATTACGAAACTTACTAGAAAATATTACCTTATAAGAATATTTAACTGAAAGATTTACTTAATGTTAAACTAGAAATTTAATTATATTTTTAATAAATATATAAAATTATATTAAATAGTACGGAAGTTAAAAAATTTTAATTAAATTTGCAATAAATGTAGTTCACATGTTTATACGCATTTGAAGTTAATTTAAATATTTACTTATTCTTCGTTTTGCTGTATACTTTTAGATCTAGTTATTTTTAATTTTTTTTTTTTGGTGTACCACCTCTTTAATTTGTTTAATATAATTTTTTAAAATTTTTGCTTTTTCACTCATCTTTTAAATAATAATTTTTAATATTTTTTGCTTATTTTCAGTTTATTTACAATTAAAAGTTTAAAAAGTTTTAGTTGCTATAAGCGAACTTTATATTCACTAAATTTTATTATTTAATTTAATAAAAAGCGCTATTGATTCAGAGCTTTTAAATCAAATAAAAATTTCCTTAATATTGGAATTTTAAAAACTTAATTTATATTTTGTATTTTATTCATTTATAAAACCTCGTAGGCATAATTTTTTTCTCTTTTAATTTTTTTAAGTTGAAAATTTTCGTTATCATAGTTTAACCGTAAAGTTTCTTAAATTTAATAATAATTTGCTAGATTATTCAATTTTTTATTTTTTTAATATATAAAAGTTATTAAAAATGTTAATTCTTATTTTAGGTTGGGCAAGGCGAAAGAAACGAGAAGGTCAGAACTTATAATTTTCAACATGACCGTCTCTGTGATCACCGAGTAAACTTTTCTATAACGCTCCGGGATGCCCTTGAAAATGGTTAATTTTAATATTTAGAACAATTCATCGTTTTTTTGTCTACTTATGTTGTACTACTGTAAACTTTTTTTTACTTGTGAAGGAAAGCTAGAAGAGATCTACCAGAAACTGCATGAAAAGGAAAGGCTGGAATATTTGTGCAGCCTTTAATTTTTTTTTTTAGTTTTATAAATATTAAAGCATTGAAAAAGTTTGTGTAGAAATTTCTTAATAGTTTAAAAAATTTACACGTTTGGATTGCTTATGCAATAATTCTGCACTCTCGGGGCCTTCTCGTACTAAAAAAATACAAATTTTCGAAAAACAAAAAAAAAAGGCAGATTTATAATAGTACAGGAAAAAAAAGATTATCTTAATTACGGATGCATAAATTAAAAGAAACATAATCTCACTCGCACAACTTTCTGGATTCTCCTTGCAATTTAATACTTATTGTTTTTACTTTTGCATTAATTTTAGTTGAAGTTAATAAACTCTTTTCATTGGTTTGTAAGAAATTTCATTTAAGATAAGCAAAGGAATGATTAAAAAGTGTGTAGTAAAATTAAGTTGGTGGTCTCTTTAGAGTTGATTTTTCTCCTCTAGAGGTTGACTAGTCAAAATTTGCTAAATATATTTGTTAGCAATCTCTTCAGGCTGCGAGTTCTTAGAGTTATTAGAGGACTCAATATTTTCTTATTAATGACATTTTACTTTTTCAGCAGCTCTGTAATTAATCTCTTCTAGCCACTTTATTGCATAAAACAACAATTATAAATATTTAAAACCAAAAAACACAGTTAACAATTTTTTTCCCTAGTTATATTATAAAGCTAACCGAATAGAACTTTATAATTGTCAGGTTGTAACCAACTATATTTGTGTATAGGGTATAACTAGATCATAAAAATAATTACTTGGATGGTGCATACGCTTTTATTATGTAAACTTTATCTTTTAATTGAAAAAGTTTTGTAAAAATATGTTTAGAGCCCAATTAATTTGTTTAGTACGAATATGAAGGTGACTACTCTAAAGTCATCTATTTAGAGCAAGTTGATATAAGCACTGAACTTGTACAAATGGCAGAATTTGTCATTAATTTGGCTTTCTGGCCTCGTCTATCCAATATGAAATAGACGCTACTCCTCGTAAGTTCATTCTTTTTTTTTACTCTTCGAAGAAGCTGTCAAAATCTGAATATGCAGATCCTAGAACATTTATATTCACTAAAACTATTAGTAATTGAGCTTATAAATTACTAAATGCTGGATCATTTATTTTTAGTTGAAAATTATATAAGGTAAAGGCAACTATCTAGCTAGTAGTAAAAGCTGTAAATATTTTTTAAAAAATAAAATTACTTATCAAAATTGAGATATGAAAGAACAAGCGGTAAATCTCTTCGGAAAAGATGTTACAGGCCTACTAGGTGAGTATCACAAAAACGTAACTCACTGTTAATTTAAAACCTGTACACAAAAGAATATAATACAGAAACTGAATGACGTAAAAGAAAGTAAAAGTATACCACTTTTGCATTCTAAAAGCTTTAAAACCCAGCAGTTATTAAAATAAATATTTAAATTCTATTTATTACCTCAACAGATATTATTGCGGCTTACCAACCACAAGAAAAATGCATTTAATAATTAGTTGAACATTCTGTGCGGAGCATAACCTTTAAATATACACTTTAGTAGTAGAAAATCTAATTTAATAGAATATTGAGAACAGACTTAAAATAAACCAAATTTCTTTGCGATATTCAGGTTGTTGGCCTACTTTTATTAAAAAAATCTTTGTAACCTCAGTATTTTCAGATTTTAAATGTTTTTAAGCTTTATAGTATTGGTAATATTTTTCAAAATCTAATTTAAGCCTTTATTTCCCTGTTTTACTTTCAGCATCTAACCTTTTTAAAATTCTTTAAATAAAATAGATTTTTATTATAGCAAAAAAAAACTAATAGGAAGTTATTAGTTTCCTTCCCTTTTCACTTCTATTTACAGTCTACCTTATGTCATACTTCTTATGTCCCACTTGAAGCGAGAACGTTATTGCCGGTAAGTCGTAGGCCCAGGCAGGAGATGCATATGTCATAATCGGCCGAATGCTAATACACATAAAGCCTTCGCTTACTGCGCAACGAAAGTTTATCTTTGCTACACAATAAAAGGTATAGCATCTGTGTCCGTTGCGTTGACCTCCGCCGCCACGTAATTACGTGTGGACACCACGATAGCTTAGAATCTATAATGACCCCCATGTATTTTTTCTGAAATGAACATGGAATTTCATGCCGTTTAAAATTAACGCATTAGGCAGCGCATGGCTTTTCCTCCTATAAGAAGCGCCTTCTTTTGCTTCGTTAATGGATTGGTCCCGTTGACGCCACCAGTTAGCAATTGCGTCGGGATAAAATCATTAGCGCTGACATAGTAAAAGGGTGACTTTGACGATGAATAAATTATTAGTTTAAAAATATTAATTTTGGTGTAAAACAGCTATATATTTATAAAACATTATAGTGGTAGATAATAAACATTTTTTTAATAAGAACTAAAAACTATATTTCAAGGTTATCTTTAATAAATAATTCTTTTTTCTTAAACTTCTACCTAACTGATTTTTTTTTTAAATAACGCGTTAGGGTTACCTGACAAAATTAAACAGTGGTAAAACATTTTTTTTTTGTTTTGCATTAAACAAGGATTATTATTGCTTTACTGTTTTAAATACATTGTAATGTCACTTGTATCGTTTAATAAACCATCTTTAGTTGATGTAAATGGTAATTATAAGCTTTTTCCCCTTCTACTCACCTTATCTGCTAAAGCCGAATAAAATTTAATTAAGCAATTTTCGGTTTCAGTAAATAAACCCATATAATGGAAGAGCTTTAAAAGAGCTCCTGGTAAAGGTTTAGAGGTAATAAACCTTTTAGAAGGGTGTGTGATTAATTGAATGAAAAATCTGTTAGTTTTAAATATGCAATTAAAGAAAATTTAAATGCAAAGAAAGGACATATTAATTATGATTTTTCAAAATCAATATGGAGAGTATATGAACGAGTCAAAAGAGGATACAAAAACAAAGTAATTATATAAGGAATTTTTTTTATAAAAAATTATATATGTAGGGCGAAATAGCATTTAAACAATAAAAGATACCCTTTATTTTATTTAGTTAAACATAGAATTGTTCATTAGGATCCAAATAGTGAGTAGAACTTATGTACAATGTCGGCTTGCTTCCACTACACTTGATTAGGGAGTACATAAGTTTTAGAGTCTTGGAATAGGTTAGTCGCGCATAGTGCTTTTCAATACATTTGATAAATGCACATGTCATTGTGCACCCGCCCTCCTTATCTACTTTTGGATAAAATATTTAAAGTATAGGTTATAATTACTACTGATTAAGTTACCATTAGTTACAATTGGCTTCTCGTTGTGGATAAAACCGCTAAAGAAAATTGCGGTGCCTATCTCAAATAATGAGATGGATAATTTAATTATTGTACTGTACTTTTATACAAATATAAGGTAGATAAAACTATTGCCTCTCTTCACGACTCGTCTTTACTCGTAAAGAAGTTGGCTTAAATTTTTATAAAACTTTTAAGTTAAAAGGTTGAGTCTGTGCTACTTAAAAAGACTAGACTAAGCACAGATACCATCATTTTAAAATTTTAATATTTAATGGAATAACAAAAGGGGGTTATTATGTAATTCTATACCCGCCGGTTTTATTGGCCTTCTGATGGATCTTTTACTTCCGAATAAAAGTTTGAGTGCTGAACAAATTTTAAGGCTGGTGTTGTTGCATGTTCTGGTGTAGGAAAGACCTAAATCTATATAGTAATAAACAATTTCTTTCAAATATAGTGAAAAGAGGGCTACATTAATGTTGTGATATACTCATGTGAATTGTAACCTAAAGTTCTTTTTTTAAAAAAAAAGATATTTTAAAATTTTTTGTATGTAAATTACGGTAGAGCAACTATACCCATAATCCTAATTAATGGTTGTGCTTCCATAAAGTTACCACTCGCCTTACTTGTTAGAATTGACGACACGATATACTACTAATATTTTACCAACACTGTTAAATTTTTCGAATAGTGGAAGTTTTAAGGCTTTTCGGAGGGATAGAAGTTATTACATTAGGTTATGGCTATTGTTAAATGTTTACATTTACTTAAGAGTATTAGTTAATATTTGCATTACTTATACTAATTATACAAGAAACTAATTTTTAATTATTTTTATAAGAAAAAGATGTGCTACTTTTATCATACTAACCAAGTAATAATACCAGTTTTGCATATGCAAGAATCCATAAAACTTATTAATCTCGTTTCCTGTGGAATAGGTATCACAATTAAGTTTATGAGCTCTTCAGAATAAATAACTCCTATAAATAAAAATGTGATAACTTTACTCTAAAACCCAGTATAATTAAAAAAAAATTGATGTTATAAAATTTTCGAGGGCATTAATTACGGTCTATAAGAGCACGCTACCTGATTTTTCGTAGTCTATGGGATATATGACTCCTCTTTTCTCAGAGTTTTTTCTATTACTACATGGCTTCTGGCGGGCATTCCCATAGTATAAAAAGAAAGTGTCCTCTAAAATAATATACGAGGCAAGAACAATATCTTATAAAACATTTAAAGTATATTAAAGATGAATAATTTATATATTTAATGCTGAAAATATATATTTAAAAAAATTTAGTGAGAAACTTTGGGAAGTAGAATGAAAAAAGCTGCTAAGGTGAATGTAAAATGAAGTATCTACCTGGAGCTGCATCTAAGACTAACCAGCAAAGAGCTTTTATAATGTTAACTCTAGAAGGCTTTATGGTTATTATATAAAGAAAAATTAATTTAATTCAAAAAAAAATATAAGCATAAATACAATCAGTAAGGGATCCGTTTGATGATTAGACAACTTTAATATATTTTTAGGCTGAAAATTAAGTTTGTTTATCAAAACAAGTTCCATGTCCTACATTATTATTTAATATAAGTTTTTAGGCCATGGCAACGCATTTTGTTGTAAAAAATTTAAGTAAATATCAATAGCATGTATAACAACATTAGCTCCACTTTCAAGGTCTACAGCAATTAAAACGGCTTTACGTTTATTATTTCCCATGTTAAACACTCTATATTATCAAAAAAAAATATTGGAAAAAGGTTTAAGTTAAATAAAAGTAGTTCTAAGTTTTTGTTAATGCACAGACACGGAAATGCGTTTGCATTATATAGCTTTAAGAACTATACTGTTTTTAACTTATCAAGCAAAAAATTGTAAGTGACTTCCGTGTTTAAATTTAAGTTTATATGACAATTCAAGTATAATGAGTTTTGTATGTAACAGACAATACGGGGACTCTTCCAATTACCTTTAAGCACCAAGTGCGTAATAAGTGTCTTATGCTAATAACTGAAAAACTTGTTTCTAAAAATCACGCTGGAGTAGTGCAAACCTGCGAAGTAAAAAGGTAAGACTGAGAGCCCGCGCCGCAGCCCGAAGCACCCAGTGACCTAAGGAAAAGGGGGCGTGGCAGAAGGTATTATATATATATACTTTTTTTACGTACACATTTGCGGCCATTTCTTTTCGAGAGATAAAAATACTTAATTTTAAGTGGAAGATACATGTAAAATTAACGAATAATTAAATTACCCAAGAACAAAAAAATTAAGATAAGATTTATGGGCGAATCATAGTAAAGGAAGAGCAACAGAGATGTTAAAAGTTGCTAAACATTCTATAAACTTCCAAGATTTTTTTTAATAACATGCCCTAATTTGGTTTTTTTAATCTTAAAATATGTTTACTTTAGTAAAATATTTTATATATAAATTTTCTTTAAAACCATAGTAACACGGAGAGTTAGCACCCTAAAATGTAAAAATAAAAATATGTGCTTAAAAAATTATTACTTAGTTAAAGGGAGGGCTTTAAAAAAGTTTAAGCAAAAAGGTGACAAAAATCTATTAAAACTTGCTCGGGAATAATCTTAACCATATTAAGACATACCAAAGTTTGTTTTAGTTTTAAATCTTCCAATAAAAAGATAGAAATAAGCAGTAATAATTCTCTGCAATCCAAAAAGATAATGTGGAGCAATGCTAAACTCGCAACAACTCTCCTTATACGTGAATGCCTTTGTGAGATTATTAAAAGGTTGAAGTAAGAGTCGAGTATAGTATTGCCTTTTTTATAAATGTTGTATATAACTTTATAGTTTTTGTAATGAAGATATTTCTAAACACCTGGTAAGCTACTTTATAACTTCATTTAAAAAATAACTTTTTATTTTTCAAATTATTCGAAGCCAGTTATTATTCTTTTAAATTTTACTTGTGTGCCTTGTTTGAGAGTTAATTATAATAGTAACTTTTTGGCCGTATTTATTTGTCGCAGCCCTCCTTGTATAAAAATGCAAAAAAAGTAACCTTTAATATATTTTTTCTCTTTTTTAATCACAACACAAATCTTCTTGCAGCTAATTAAGGTACATATTTTCAAAGGTTCAGGTAAGATTCGATTAAATTTAATGAGTAAGGCGAACTACAAGAACGTCAAGGCGACCGCTCTTCAAAAATAAAGAAAAGCAGTTCTATATTTTCTTGTCGAGGCTATTTAAGCGACACCCATTCCTTAACGAAGGTTTATGAAACGTTAACTCGCTAACGAGAAAGATATGAACATGTTTTTTTTTATTCAGGATGAGGTATGTTAATACCATTCAAGAAATTGATTAATCCGTTAAAATTAGGTACTATTGCAAACAATATAGTTGTATTCATAAAGAAATACTTTTTTTACTTATTTATTTTGAAGTGTGTTAATTAAGCAAAAGGATTTATTCTAATTTAACTTATAGCTATGACAGGTTACTTTTTTGAATATAAATAGAGAGAGATGCTATTTTTTTTTGAGGAGTGAAAACATAAACTTTTGTACAACTTTAAATAAAGTGAGAATATTTTACTTAGAGTTTAAAGCAGACATAGTTTTTATATTTGCTATGGTATATTTTATTGTTACTGCTTTGTATTTCACATGATACTGACACTTGCGGATAACAAAAACATCTTGATTTTTCTTAATCTCTGTAAAAAGTTAAAAGATTTGTAAAGTAGGGTTTTAACACATAATAAAAGTCTTCAAGTCCAATAAGGTGATTAAAAGTTTTATGAGCTAAAATTAGGGGTATACACTTAAAAGTATATATATTGATAGAAGTAATTTTAAAAGTAAACCGGTGTTTTTTTTTATATTGCCTATAATTTCAAGTGAAAGAAATTGGAGGAGGTCAGTAAGTCTTTGCATAATCAAGAAATTCTTGACTTTTTTTTATTTAAAAAGTAAATTTCGTTTAAGCAACCCTTTTCTAACCTTTTTGATTAGAAAAAATAATTATTTAAAACAGTGGTGCTCTATTAAACTTTAGAGAAATTCTTACGCGAATTTAAAGCACCGAGATTGCTTACAGAGCACTTATCTCTAGCAAAAGAATTCATGCATTAAAATAAAGTTGAATAACTTAAAGGTATTTAAGTCTCCCTACTATTTTTACCGTTTAAGGAAAATTGTTTACGTAAGCGTATATTAGTTATGAAAAAGTAATTATAGATAATTGTGAAGCGCATAGGAAGATGAAAAAGAGTAAATTTTATTATTTGGGTTAGCCTCAAAGATTTATTGAGAGAATATTGATTAGACTTCCAATATGGAAAGTGTTTTTCCTGATATAACTATATAAGCGGGAAGAGCAGATGATTTTGTGTATGGCAACTTGATCGATAGTACTTCGCTCACTATTATTACTTAATAAGTAGAACTCTTTGTTGTAGCGGAAAAAGGAGTTGAACAAACATAAGTTGATACCAATATACCCTTCGTTCAAATAAAAACAAGGGTCTGCGACTCCGGAAGTTACTTGAACAGTAAAATGAAGAGCTCAAATATATAATAATGCGATTTCTTAAGTTTACTACCGTTTGAGACGAGTGTTCTTATTAGCTACATACTAGCAACCAACCTACTAAGAATCCATAGAGTTTCTGTTTACTACAGAGTTCTAGCTAACTAAGCTGGAGGCCCAAACATCCTAGACGTACAAGAACTTTAAACTAGTAAATTCAAAATAAGTTGGATGGTAGCTCGTATAAAGTTGAAAAGTCAGGGTGCACTGCTATACGGAAGCACTTACAATAAGGTATTTTGTTTTTGTAAAAAAGATAATTAGCAAAAGGTAAGTAACACATTGCTTCCCAAATTAAAATTAGAGTTTTTTAAACCACTTGGCAAAAAAAGAGTTCAGTTTAAACCTTGGCAGAGTCTATACACATTTATTGACTTAAATTAAAAGCAGGCGTTAAAGTAGTAATTAGATACATACGCACCTATATTTATATTAAAATTTACAAAGGTTCCGCTCGTACGTGGATAGAAAATATCTAATAAAGCAACAAAAAAAAATATATAGTAATAGTAAAAAGAAAACAAAAAACTAAATAAGTTAAGCTTGTCAAAGCTTCCTGAGCTGCAAAGGTTGGATCCTAACGCAAAATTTGCTTTGTAACGTAAGTTTTCAAGTTCTCTTTTAGGTCAAACAATCAAAGAAGTTGAACTTTTTAAAGTAAATTTTGTACTGTATAAATCCGAGTAACCTTACTACCACAAAATAATTTTGTACGCCACTGCCAGTTAGTAAAAACAAGCAAATAGTCCTATAGATAGTTTTAAGAAATTGATTAAACTGAAAGTAACCATTGTGGAATAAATATTTAATATTATAAGGATCATTTAGAAAGTAGCTAATATGAGAAAAGTACAAATTTATAACTTTTTTACCTTAGCTAACAGAAAATACTATTTAAATAGTCTTTGCCAATAAATTAGCCGAAATTCTTTACAAAAGCAAAGTCTACTAAAAACTTGTGTAAATTTAAGATAATAGTTATAATAAAGTAATCATCAAAAACATTGAGGTGAGGAATATATAAAATAAAATAAATTTATTTTAAAATCAAAAAGAAAAAAAATATGTTTAAATGTATAAATCTTTAAGTAGAATACTATTTAATTTAGGCTCAATATAAAGTATGAAAAAACCACTTAAGGTTAAGATAAATGAAAACAATTTTAGTTTTATAATAAATTTATGAGACCTAAGTTTTATCTTTTTTTTTATACTTTATTTAAAAATTCGACTACTTTGCTGAATAGAAATTTACTTGTAACCCTGATATAAAAAGTATTCTAAGTCAAAGCCCATCTAGTTCATACACAGGCTACCTCTAGGTGGTGGCGTTTACCTTTGAAGAACTACCTCTGAAGAGCCTTAAGAAAAGTCACATTAAAGACAGCAAAATTTAATCTCGCTGTTGTTAATTAAATACTCTTTTTCTACTATTCTTAATTCTAAACCTTTTTTTTATCGACCCTGCTTATATGACTTGTTTTGAGTATTGGGAAAAAGAAAGTCACAATTCACTTTATGCGTACTACTGATTTGCAAAGTTAACTTATATATTCTTTTATACTTTGCTGAATATTTTTAAACTATAATTTCTAGAGCTTAGCTTGGGTTTCTTAGGCTTCGGTTTTTTTTTTACATTTCTGGGTATTATTTTCATGTTCGACTCAAGTTTTTTAGCACTAGGAAATGTAATTTAATTACTTTAATTAGTTAAATATATATTTCTTAGTAAGAATAGTCCTGTTTTCAGTTTTTTAGGTAAGTAAGTTTTTTTTTACCTGATAGATATATCTTGTATTTGGAACTATTTTACTCAGAGGGCCTGGATTTAGTTTTAGATTCGATCTTCAAGGGTTGCCTAGCTTTATCTGCTTCCTCGGAGGCGTTATTCTCGTCTTTTTAGGTAAAAAAAATATTCCCTACAGAAATTTTAAAAAATTAAAAGATTAAATTTTTTAAAGGATACTCCAGAATAGGAATTTTTTTTTGAATTTCTTGGCTTATTATTATTTTTTTGGTACGTTTATTTTTGAAATATTTGTTTTGTCTTATATATTTTTATTCTTTATTAAAATTTAATATACGCTAAGTAATTATATAAAAAAAAACTTTTTTTCTCTTTAGGAGAAAAGCTAATAATCTTTTCCGTTGGTTGGGCCGTCTTAGATTTTTCTTACCACGCTTAAAGATTTCATAGTTGAACGTTCAATAAATTACTAATATCACATTATTATTTATAATAATATTATATTTAAATAAAATTTCTTTTTTCCTTTATTAGAGAGAACACTAATATACCCTTCACTACTTTTTTTAAAAAATTTATAGAGATCAAGAATTAACTTTAAATAATTGAATATATATTTAAAAAAAGTTTTTTTTTAAAGGAAAGTGACAATGATTTATATAACTAACGTTTTGCCTTACATAATAATTTTATATGGTCGAAATTATATTTACAAGTTGAAGGTAATTAAGCCTAATTATAAATATAAAGATTCAGACGCTCGCCTTTTTTTAAGAGAAAAAAAAATCTATTTTTTTAGAGTCCAAGGTATAGAGACTTTTATTCCCGATTTCCTTTCGAGCACGTTAAAGAAAATAACTAGTAACAAATTGTTTAAAGTACTTGCAGTTCGGATACAGCTAATAGAAATTAGCTCGATCTAAAATTGCAACAATTAAGATAATTAAAACTCAAGGTATATATAAGTTTGCTATGTAGGCTCATTGGAAATAGAATCACAGGCTGATTATTTTGCCGTTTTTAAACTAAAATTTCTTTTTGTTTTTTAAGAAAATATTCTTGAAGTTCCAATAATTAAAAACTCTTACTCGAAGTAGCTTTCCAAAAAAAGAATTTTTTATAAAACGATTATACTGATTGGAAAAAGATTCACATGTATTGTAAAAGAATATATAAGAAAAATGATGATGAGATAGCGTATTTGGATATCTTTATTTGCTTGGTGGAATCCTTTCGCTACCGTTAGAACAGTAAAATTTATAATTTTTGTCTGATACACAGTCTCAAAAAGCATTGCTTTGACTGTTACTTTGCTAAAGTATTATTTGAATCAACAAATAACTTTTAAGGCTCAACTAGTTTTGAAAGCACCTGAGTATACTAACGTGCGTTTTGTGGGTAGTTTGGAATGTGAATGTGTGAAGTAGCGAAGATCGTCTTCTGTAAAATCAGACACTATAGTTTACATTCTTAATTAAATAATTAATAACAGTAGTTTTTTTTTAATAAAACACCTTAAAAGCCTAAGTCATAATATTATACCAAATTTTTTAGCTTTTTTTTAAAAAAAATTTTGTAGTAGCTTCCATAAATAAGAATAGAATGGTTTCCAAATGGTAGTCTTCATGTAAAGAAGAGTCGTAACGACTTAATAGTTTTGTAAAAGTGCTTAAATAAAGTGTTCTTCCTCAATGGAAGTTTACAATAGTACCTTTTACTAATTTTTTTTTTCCATTGTATTAAACGTGTAATTGTGTGAAGGTCTATCCAATTCAGTCAACAAAAATAATGTAGTTTTGTCAGAAATTATCACATTATTAAAATACCTCTAATAAACCAACACTAATTTTCATTTTTATTTATATTAGTACACTGCTCCGTACAACCGTGCTTTATAATCAATTGCTGCTTAGTCTACTTTCCCTCTACCAAAGGAAGGTGCGGGAGGTTTCAACTTCCTTAGTAGGTAGTAACTCCTTCAACTAGAACAAAAGCGCTTTATCATCACAGTTATATAGTATATATCAAAGGACGCGTTACCCAAAAAAAAATTTAAAATTAAAAAAAAATTAAATCGTAGTACAAGAGCATAATTAAGTTTTTTTTACATTTATACACTATTAAAAATATATAGTTTAATTAAATAAACTCTGATTATAACCTTATTTCCCCTCTAATAGGTTTAAGAAACGTTTCGGCCGCGAGTACTTGATGGAGAAGCAAGAATCATAGTCAAGAGCCTAAGTTGAGGTGACTACTGGTTTTAGCAAGACGGTTTTGTGAACTTATACAAATATTTTTAAATGAACTCGAGGTTACACTCCATATGTAGTTAGCTGTCATGCACAAACCAAGAAGCGTCCACCACCGTTCTTAGAGAGCGATTTTGTAGTATTTGAAGCCGTTGGCGGCTGTATGGCTTGTATGGTTTTAGAAATGACCTAAGAAAGGTGCTGGTGCAGCTTAGCCAGTCGTTAACCTTGAGGTATATAACCTTATTTCTTCTAGAATTGTCAGGTTTGGTTTAGTGGGGGGCTAGGGTTTGGGGGAGTATCTTCTTGTTATATTGATAAAGCAACATTTGGACCCGTCAACTATTAACCATCGTGTTAAAACCATATCTCAAGCACTGTCAACCAAGATTACATGTTTACAAGCACCGACCAGGCTGTTTCAAACTATAACATAAGGCGGTGTCATCAACGTAATGGCTGAGATTTTTTAGGCAATTATGGTATTCTGGAAATTTAGGCAGAAATAAAGGGGACAGTAAAGAGATTATGGCCCACCCATCTTGATTTGTCTAATAGCGGGCTTCATCGAACTCACTTTAGCAGTAAAGTTTCTACGCTAGGTATGAGTGTATCACTGCAGTTAATTAAGAAGGAAACCTGGCGAAATTTGTTTCAACACTACTTCAGAAATTTTCATACTTTTTAAATCTTATATTAAATTCAATGAGAGCTATTAAAACTAGCGAATGAACTTGTATCAACCGAAGTTTTTAAAAGATTTGAACTAAGGAACTTGGTTGAATAAAGTATGGAAGGAATTTCATATTTTTTCCTTTTTTTATAATCTTTTATTTTATTTATATATTTTCTATTTTTTAAACTTTATTTTATTTATTCACTTTTTTATTTTATTCCGAAAACAAAATTTTAATAGAACAATTCATTTATTGGAGTGCAAATTGATCGAGATTCTTATAATGAAAGTATTGGCGAAACGGCTTATATTTAATAAAGTGAGTAATAAAGGTAATTTTTGGATACCGCGTTGGATTATAAAATAAAGATTTAGTTGAAAGTGAAAATCTTTCAGATCTTTATAACGAAGCGAACCAGCTTAGTGAGACACCAGACGAATTTAAAGCAAAATCGTTTTGAGGTAGTCACAGTGCTGCATTTAATACTTATCTAACTACTTAGTTTAAAAATCCAACAATTTTACAAAAAAAACTAAGTGTGTGTGTGCGGGAGGGGGAGGAAGGAGGTGGGATGGGGCGCTGGCTCTTTGATGAAAATATACCTTTACTAAAACACTATTCTGAAACTAAGCATCTTGTGGCCTAGCCACTCTTGTTCTTATTGTAAAGTTGGTTTTGGTTCTCCTAGAGTCCAGTATTATCATATAAATTTCTACGGTGCTTTTAGTTCTTCACCACATATTTATATTACATTAAAGTCTATAGTATATCTTATTAATCTGTTATATAAAGTACTGTTCTATATTTATTTTCGAGGGCTCCCGGTCTGAAAAATCAACACTTATAACCGTTGCTTAAAAGCTTACAAAACGGGGCATAGTATGCCAATGAACCAAAGAAACATAGCAATAATCTTTATACATTTTTTGTTCAATGTTATTTTTAATCGCTCTTCCGCGTAGTTTCTTCGTTTAGTAAAGTACCTCTTGACTAACGAGTAGAAAAGAACTGGTTAATAGTTAGTTGCTTTGCACTATCCACAAATACTCCGTATATGGGGTTATCTGCATTTTAACATTCCAGCTCACGTTTCTCCAAGCCCTTACTTTTACGGAGATTGGCTTTCTTGAACGTGCTTTATTATCATTAAAACTTAAAATACTGTAGTCTTCATTAGCCTTTTAAAGCTCTAGGCATACTCGTTCTAAAATAAAACCTTTCTAATACTCTTTTTTTAAATCCTTTAACTGATACGAAAGCATATATACGTTTTGAACCTGCCTTGTGTGTAGCAACTGTGAAGTAGGTTTTTGCATAGACTCTTGTTTAAAGATCTACCGTACTCAAAATCGTTTTTAGTTATATAAAAGACATTGATTAAATCTGTGGGAAGATATTTCTCCGTAGATGTTTTCTAGCCAGTTACATTACTATTATCTATATCCCTTTGGCCTATGTAAGTTAATATTCTTTTTCTTTAGCATGGTATTTTTGTCCCTAGAACATAATTTTTGGGTTAATTTTAAAATAATTCGTAAAAGTTTCAAGTTGGGTGTTTATATAGTCAAAGTAAATTTTAAATAAATTTAAAAAGTATAGCACACTTCTTATTTTACAAAAAGAGCTAACAAAATAATATAATAATCAAGTAAACAAATTTGATACCAATAGCCGATATATTAAAAAAACTTAGGTGTAAAATATTAAAACGTTTGCTAACAAGTAGCCTATTCCAGTGGTAATCTATTTAGTAATTTTTTACCACTGCTGGTTTAATGTTTAGGTTCAAGTTCTCATTTTACTTTGCTTTAGTCCTCAAGACAGACTTCATAATTTATAAGATTATCGGTTGATCAAAATTGGAACTCTAATTAACAGTTTAATTGTTATGAACACTAAAATGCGTTTTAATATAATATCTGTTTGTATAAATAACAGAACTATAACTAATAAATTTTAAAAATTAATTATCTATGCGATTCTCTTTTAATAATGCATACATATTAATATATGATTACTTTTTATTGTTCATTTTACTTTCTTTTGGAAGAGTACAATGGCGGGGCACTGAGGTTTGCATTATGCCGGTGAAAAAAAATGTCATGCGTTGGTATTTCTCGTGACGAATATGCCTACTTCTACGCTACCTCAGAGTAAGCGAGAACTGCTTCGCTGTCGCAAAATGTTTTGTGGCATATTTAAATGTTTTTGCTTTTCGATTTTAATCAGAGGGGCAGTTAGTCTCAACGCTGATCCGGAATTCTATGAAAGCGTTTATGCTAAAACAAGTTTAGGTGTGTCTGTGGCCTCCATTGTGTTCATGGGGATTTTGGCTGGCTTCTTTTGCCGCTACCAAAGTACTTCTCTCCCTTTAATAATCCTAATACTTAAATTTTATTATTATTAACTGTTATTATTCTTTTTACTAAAGAGCTTCCTTCGAGTACTGAAGAGTTTATAACCGCTAGGGGTACTCAAGGTTATTAGCTCTTGCTAGTTTTAATAAATAGTTAATAATTTTTTAAGTTCTTGGCAGTTTCCTATTATACTATATTTATTTATAATTAATTGTTTAACTTATATTATTTAATCAGCAGTTTTTTCTGGCTTCTAACTTTATTTAATAGATGGAATTGCAGCTAACTTTTTTGCTTTTATTCTACTGGAATTTAGGACTTTGGCTTATTGCTTATAGCTATTTTGCAACAAGTTTGGGATCTTGGCTCCTTACCTTGCCTGCCAGCTATGCTTTTTTGTACTCTTTGTATTTACCTCAACTATCTTTTTTTTTTTTTTTTACCAAATTCCTCTAAAAAAGAGCTGGTTTACTAGGAACTTTTATGTATTCGATTTCTTGCGCATTTCCTATTATTATTATTGCTTATTTTGGGGAGTTGGCTCAATCACAGTATCCTAACGTCCTTTCTCTCTCCGATTACGCCAAAAACCGGTATACTAAATATAATTAAACGTTTTATAATAAATTTATTTTTATTATAAACTAATTTATAATTTCTAATAGATATTTCGCTAAATTTTTATATTTTTAATAAGATTTGGACTTTTAACGCAGGTCTTAGTTGTTTGTCAAAGTTTGTTCCATACTTCAGTGTCTATTGTCGTTGAATTAAACATAATAACTAAGCTTTGCAAACATGTGCTTCGCATCGGTACTAATCTTTTGAATTCACTATATACAATTTGCTCTTTAGATTTTTTAATCAATTATAAATAATATATACATTTTTAGTCAATATACTAAAAAATAAATTTGTATCTTTTCCTTCATCTTTATTTTAACTTTTAAGCTTTATTTTTTCAAATAGACTTAAAAAGATATATATTTTTATATATATTTCTTTCTCCTTCTTTTTATAAAAATTTTAGTAGATTATATATGAAATTTCCTATACACTATTATGTAACTTAATTTTTAGTCTTTTAGTAAAACTTAAAGTAATTGAATTTTTTCTTCGTCAGTTTTGACTTATCAACTTTATAATTATTTTAATTTATTTTATGCGTTTTTTTTATACTTTAGTTATTTATATTAATTTCATTTTTATTTAAATTTTTTTTATTCTATTTATTTTAGATTAACTTTGGATTTTCTATAAAAACTATTTAGATTTTTTCGAAATGTTGAGATTATATTTATAAATATAAAGTCAATGAGTATACCTATTAATTAACTTTAGTAATTTATAAATTTTAAAATATTTTTTTTTAAATTTTTTATACTAACAGAATATATATATATATACTATTTGGGAATCTACTAAATGTTGAGATTAATCTTATAAACATATATGGTCAACAAGTGTAACTAATTAAATTTGTGTTTATTTCATCAGTTTGTCTATTTACTTATCAACTTTATATTTTTGGCTATAGATATTTTATTTAATTAATTTAATTTTTTTTCAATAATTTTTTAGATAAATTTTGGTTATATATTGTTTTTAATTCAATTTTGAAATTTATTTTATCTCAGTTCTAAATTGTGTTTTATGTTTTTGTAATTATAAAAATTTTAAATTAATTTTATTTAAATGTTTTAAATTTGTTTAATATTTTATACCACATTACTATATAGATTTAAATTTAATTTATAATTATATGTTGTCTTTGTGTTTTTATGTAATAATATAAACCTACTCCTGATTACCATCTCTACAATCACAGTGGGAAACTTCGAAATTAATTTATACATAACTATAAATTGTGTTTTAAGTTTTTATTAATTATAGAAACATATACATTTTATAATTTTTATAAAATAATTTAGATAATTTTTACATTTTAATGCTGATTATCATCTCTGCGACCACGATGGGTTATACTTTTTTTGGTGGCCTCAAAATTTCTATAATGACTGATCGGATTCAAGCTGCGGGTTGGAGAAATTAAAAAGTTTTGATTGCATGTTTTTTTTTTATAATTAAAAATGATTAATTTTAACTTTTTTAAATTTTATTAATTTTAAAACTTTTTTGCAGTTTTTTGAATTACAACTGATTTATAATATTTTGTATAATATATTAATTTCTTTTTTGAATTTTACTTGTTAACCCTAATTTATTATATATATAAAGTTTTTTCATTGTAATTTTTTTATTAATAAAATTTTGTGGTTTATTTTTTTAGTAATTTCTATTGATTTGTGTTTTATTTAATTAAAAATTTATTATATATTAATAATTTAAAATTTGTACTGTTGTATTTCTTTTTATTAATTAACATATTAAAGATTTTAAACTAATAATAAAAAAATAAATTTGTTCTAGAAATTTGAAATGTTTAAATTTATATAATTACAGAGAATTAAAAGATAAATCTGAAACAGAAGTTTAACTTTTTTTTAATATAATAAAACGAATTTTTTTTTACTTTTAAATAATGAATTGAGATTATTAGTTTTGAATATATTTTAATTAAATTTTATTTCGTTTTTAAAATTTATGAAACTTGTTAATTAAAAAATTTATATATATTACAAGTAATTTATTTTTACTTTTTATAATTGGTTTGAGATAAATATAATTATCCATAATAAGTATACTTTAATTATATATACAAGCTTTTTTTATAAGAAAATTAGTTAATTTTAAATTTAATCAGAACAAATTTATTTTATTTTTAATTATTTATTTTATTTTTAATTATTCATTTGAGATTATTATAATATTTTATAGAAGTTTTATTTCTAATATAAATAAAAAGTATTTATTCTATTTTTCATTCATTATTTGAGATTAATATAATTATCGATAATAAAACTTTTGTATACAGTAAAAAAATTACTTACCTTTAAATATAAACAAAACGTATATTTTAAAAATTTGAGATTGGAAGTTTAAAATGCTTTAATAGTGAAAATATTGTATTAAAAATTTATGAAACTCTTAAAAAAATTAATTTTAAAAAAAAGAAGAAAGTTTATTATTTTTTTATAATATAATATAAATAAAACCTAATCTCTATACTTTTGATTAACGTTTTGAAGATTAATAATCTCTAATTTTTATTTTAAAAATTTATATAACCGTTATAAAAAGTTTTTATAGAAATTCAAAAGTTAATTTAATTTAGAAATTATAATTTATTTTAAAAAATTTAATATTTTTATCTTTTAATTGAATTTTGTGATTAAAATTTTTCAGTATTTAATTATTATCGTTAAAATATTTTTTTTAAAAAATTTATTAGTTTTTTAATATAATTTATTATAGAAATGTAGAAAAAAATAATATTTAAAACGTTTTTTATTAATTTCCAATAAATGATTTGAGATTAATAGTTTTAAACATTTTTTGTTTTAAACCTTAAGAAACTTATAAACAAACTAGTAATAATTTTTTTTTTATTAATTTTAAATCATTAATTAAAAGTAGCAAATTATTCGTTTCCTTAATTTTCTATAAAATCTTTTATAAAAAGATTTTTACTTTTACAACAAAATTATTAGTAATTAAAAAAAATTGGAAACTGTTAATCTCAAATTATTATTTAAAAGTAAATAAAATTACATTTTATTTATATTTGAACGTAAATAGTAATTTTTTTTAATTAAAAATTTTTAAATAAACTTTTTTAAAAAGTTTTATAAATTATAAATAGAAAATATTAAAAACTAATTTTAAATTATTAATTTAAAGGAAAAAATAATTTATTCTTATTTTTTTATGAAATTATTTTGAAAAGTTTTATACAAGTTTAAAGGAAGATTATTAGTAATTATAAAAAATTAAAATTATTAACTTCATTATTTCATAGTTATGGAAAATTTAATTTGTGAATTTATAAATTTATTTTATATTAATAAATACTGATTTTAAAAATTTATAAAAAAAAAATTAATTAATATTAATAAAATTTTATATAACCTTAAAATTAAAAAATAAATTATACAAGAGATTTAAGAAAAGTAATACATAATAAAGGCAATAAAATGTTATATTATATTTAAAAAAAGTTTATCAAAATAAATTAAATACTAAATTTAAATACTGAACGTAAAAAAGTAGTAATAAAGGAAAAGTTCCAAAGAATATTATAATAATGAAAGACTTCTTTTCCTATTCGAAGTAGTAATTAAAATTTAGTTATCAATTTTTGTTTACTATAAAAAATGCACAACAATTTTTTTTAATATAAAGGTCTTTATTTTCTAATACTTTTTATATTTATTTAAATATAAATTAGTTATAAATATAACAACTTTAGTTTTCTTTAATAAAATTATTATAAATTGTTAGTAACTTGAAATATATTAATTATAAATTTTTGATTATTTTAGCTTTTTTCAAATTTTTAATTTTTTTAATATCTTTACTACTAATTAATATATTTTTTATGTTTTTAGTTGGGAATATAATATACTTTAATAAAGAAATTCAAAGAAATTATAATAATAATTTTTTTTATTATCAAGAAAGTTGTTAAATTTTAGAAGTTAAAAAATAAGTATGAAATTTTTTAAAATGGAAAGTTCTTTTTAATTTATAGTAAAATTTGTTTTACTGATTTTAATAATTTGAATAGTAATACTATAAAAGTTTTATTTTTACTTAAAGCAAAAATGATTTAATTTTTATTTATCTTTTAAGTAAATTCAATGAAGTAAATCAAAAAATGATTAAATTTTAGAACATTTAGCCAATCAAAAAAACGGTTTTCTTAATGATTACTAAACTTCAGCTAATCAAATAAAACATTGCACGTTAAAAGCAATAACTTTTACTTTTTTAAAAAGATAATATAAGTTTACTAAGTTTATTTTGGGAAACTATTTTTAATAATTTATATAAACTGATTTAATTTTTTACTTAAAATATTTTTATTTTTGTATTTTTTATCAAAAATTTGGTTAAATTTATTTAATTTCATTGAAACAAACACTACTGAATTCTAATTATAACTTTTTTTTATTTTTTTTCTCTGAAAATTCTGATTTGCACCAAAAGTTACAAAGAGACTATTATATACTAAAAAAAATATATATATTTCTTTATTAACAATTTACTTATTATTTATAACTCTATTTATAACTACTATATATTATTTTTTATATAAATATTGATTATAAAAATCTTATTTATTATTATTATCAAATTCAAAAATATTATGAATTATTATAAATATAATTATTAAGAAAAAATTTTATATACTTCAGTCGTACTCGTTTTACTTTCTGTTGTGGCGATGTACACTTTTATTACTTTGAAATTTTCGCTTCAGGAAAAAAATATTAGCCAGTTTTTGGGTTTATAATTTTAAATATAATTTTTAAAAGAAACGTATAAAATTTTATTAGCTTCAAGTTTTTTAAATTGTTTATATTTTTTTTGTTTTTGAAAAACTAATTTTTATACCGTTTTTTGCTGTTTTTAATAAATTCAAGTAAATTTAGTTTATAAATTATGCGTAATTATTTTTTTACTTATAAAATTATTTATATAGTTACAATTCATTAACTACTATTATATATTTTTTGCTAATAATTTTTAAAAAGATGAGTAATAATACTAATTTAAATAAACTTTATTAATTGTTAAAAAGATTTTTTTTTCGCGTTTATAGTGATTTATGATGTGTTGACCACGTTTTTTTATTTGTTGAGCATTTGAAATATTTATAGCAAAAAAGCTACTGTTTGGTACGCACGTGTTGTGAAGACGGAATTTTTATATAGATTTCCGTATTTTATATTTTTGAACTAATTTTATTAAATATTTATAACCTTTAATGATTTAAGTTATATTTTTATAATTAAAGGCTTTATTTTTCGAAAATTTTAGTTTTTACTAGTTAATATTTATAAATAACTTTGGATTTTTTTATTAATTTTTATTGAATTAATTGTGTTTAAAAACTTTTGCAGCTTGCAATAATAATATTACTATTCGCACTAAAGTTACCACACTTTAGTCACTGCTTAATAAATTATTTATAAAAATGATTTTTTCAATTAGTCAAACTGAACTTTTATAGAATTCATAAAAGTTTTTGTGATATACCGGCAAATTATAACTACTTTATTGGTTATTTATTTTTTTTACTTATTGACTAGAAATCATTATTAACAAAACTTGCATTTTGTATTGGTTAAATATACTAAACAAAGTTTTTCGTCTCCCAAGCGGTGTTTGTTTGGTTAAGATTGATTTTAAATGATTAAAAAAAACCTTTTGTTGGTTAGAGAAGACATGACCTTGGTACTATTTAGTATTATTGACTAAAAAGCACGTCATAGAAACGTTGTAATTGTTTTTGCTACGAAAGGACTTGTTATTAATTAAAGTTTACTGGTTTATAATAATTCGTCCGTTTGAAAGTTTAATAAATTTTTAGATTTTTACTAGTTAAAAATGCGATATTTACTAAGTAAATTTTCATGGGTTAAAAATTACAACAAATAATTAATGAATATTATTTACTTTTCTGTTTTGATTGGTATTTTTTAACTAATTCTGTTGGTTTATCGCTTTAACTAAAAGTATTGCTATAATTTTTTCATTGTATTTCTGGCTTACAAATTAACAAAAATATTTAAAAATATTTTTATATCTTTCATATGAATTCAATCTGCAAACGAAATTTTTTATTTAATTTAATATTAAAGTAAAAAGAAGGCACTCAGTTAATTTTTTTATTGTTTGAAAACTATTATTTATTCTCATTTTTATTGGCTAGATAACACATTTTTAATAAATACCTCTATTTGCTAAACTGAGATGTTTTGGTTAAAATATATACTATTTATTTTATTATTTTTTAAATAAAAATTGCAGCTATTTTTTATAGTTTATATATATTTTTTCTTTATACTTTTAGTATTATCTTTCCTCTAATTATTATAAACGTGAAACTTCGATTTTCTGTTTTTTAAGATATTAATATTTTTTTGGCTATTAACTTAAATAATAAACCTTGAGGGGCCAATGAATGGGGCTACTCTTCTCTTTTCGTGATGCCCGTTGCTTTTCTCTGCGTGACACTCTTTTCCGAAAGTTTCTGGCAGAAGGCGTGGGCTTCCGAAAATAAAAAGGTCTTTTATGCTTTTTTTTGTGATATAAAGGATTTTAAAAAGTTTTAATTTTTTATATATTATTTATAGTACTTATGTAGGATATCAGACGTTTACTTTTTACATATTAATATATAGTAAGCTAGAAGTTTTTTATTTCTTTATATTATTAGAAAGTTTTACTTTTTGTCTAAGATTTATAATATTTTAGTAAAACACAAAAAGTTTTCATTCTATTAATTTTTAAAAAGTTTAATTTTTTATTATTTATAAAATTGTTTAATATCAAAAAATTTTATATCTTATTTTTAAAAAGTTTTTTTTAAATATATTGTTTATAGTTTTTTAGTAAAAATTAATTTTTTAATATTATTTTTCCAAAGTTTTACTTTGGTTCTATTAATTATAATTTATTGAAAAATTTTTAGTTCAATAACTTTTACATAATTATAATATTTATTTATATATAATTTTACATCATGATAATGAAAAAAAAAAGTTTTATTTTGATAATTTTTCATCTTATAAAAATAATTAATAATGATATTTAAAAACTTTATATGACTTTATATGATAGGATCATGCTTATTAAAAACTTTTACAACATTATAATAATATTAATTTATAAATATCTTTCAAAACTTAAAAACTTATCACATTATAATAATAATAATTATTTATAAATAATTTTTAAAACTTAATAATAATTTTGCAAGTATCCTTTAAGGCTTAATAGTAATAATATTATACTTAATAACTTTTACAGCATTATGGCAATGATATTAAATTAGTAGCGAATTTTCTCTTCTACTAGTTAACTTAATAGATATTTTTATATTTTATATTTTTAAAACAGATTCTCCGCAGAGGAGCGCTCATTTCTTCGTTGATGAATTTTATTGTTATATTTATTTTTTGTTTGTTTGGTATTTTTTTACTTTTTTTACTTTTTATTATTATTTTGAATTAATAAATTATTTATTTAAAAATAATAATAAAAAATAAATTAAAAAATTAAAAATTACTAAATAAAAACTTTTATTATATATTTAAATATAGAAAAGCGCAGAAAGTTATTATTTCAATTTTTTATAAGCAAACTTTTTAAAACAATTTTATCTTCTGCTTTTTTATTATTATTAGCTTTTCTATATATTCTATAATTATACTCTGCTTATTTTTTTTATTAATTATTATTTAGAATAAAAATTTTACGAATTTTTTGATCTATATTTTTTTGTATTTTCATAAATTTATAAAAATTAATATTTTATTATTATTTTTGTATATCGAATATAAAAATGAACTTATTTTTATTAACTTTTATATATTTTATTATTATATTATTAATTATTAATATCTTGAATATAAAAACTTCAATGAATTTTTTGTTCTACTTTTTATTTATTAGTATTTTTAATAATTTTATTTACTTTTCATGTTTTATTATTATTTTTTTTAAACATTTTTTATTTGTTATGCTTGTTTCTAATGTTTTATATACATTTAATAAATTTTATATATTATATATATAATATTTTGTTATTTTTTTATAAGTATTATCTTGAATATAAAAACTTAAACTAATTTTTTGTTCTGCTTCTGTTTATATCTATTCATCATTTATAATAATAACTATTTTTTTTTCATTTTAGTTGTAATGCTTGTTTGATTGACTTTTATATATATACATTTTAATTTTTTTTTCCATATTTTTCTATTTCTTTTTTTGGTATTTTCGCATATATTATTAACTTTTGTATAGTTATTTATAAATAAAAATATTTTAATTATTTTTTTGTTATGCTTTTATCAGTAATTTATATAGTTTTATGTATTTTTATATAGTAATATATATTTAACTCTTTTATTTTTTATTGTTATATATCAATTAATAAAAATATAATTTATTATATGATATGCTTTTTTATAAGTATTTTTATACAAAGTTATTATTCATTATATATTAATTATTTTTTTTATTTTTATTTTTATTTTTACTTTTTATTGTTATTTATAGAAATTTGTATATTTTCTATTTTATAAAAATATAAAAAATTATAACTTATTGTTGTGATGCTTTTTTAAAGTATTTTGTATAATATAAATAACAATTAAATATATTTTATCAAAATTTTTAAATTTTATTAATTTTTTGTTATAAACTAATAAAATAATTATAACTTTTTATTATTGTTACGCTTTTTTATAATTTTTCTATAATTTTCTTAATTTTTTACATTTTTAATTAAATATTTTAACTTTATAATTTTTTTATTGTTATTAATAATAAATTATTTATAACTTATTATTATTGTTATACTTCTTGTAGTATTTTATATAATTTTAATAAATATTCATATATTTTTTATTATTTTCATAATTATTATTATATATCCTTAAACGTGAAGGACTTTTTGGACTTTTGAGTGGACGTACCGATGCAAATACCAATGAAATATTGAGAGTGTTCTACATTATAAATTCAGAATACGAGCCCCACAAAACGTATTATCTTTTTTCAAAATTTCATTATAAATTATATATAAACTTTTTTTTTATAATTTATTTTTTTTATTATGAATTATTTATATTAGGTTTAAAGAGAAAAAATTCAGTAAAAAATATTTTTTTTCTAGTTTTTTTATTATCTTTTTTATAGAAATTTATTATTATCTTACAAAAAGAAAAAAATTTGGTAAAAACTATACTTTTTTTTAATTTCATAATTTATTATATTTTTATATTTTATTAATATTATATAAAAGAAAATAGTTTAGTTTTTTTGATATTTATAAACTATTTTATATTAATACAATTATATTCTAAAAAGAAAAAAATTTATTAAAAATTTTTTTTATTTTTTTTAATAATTTATTAATTTTTTATATTAGAAATAAATTTTTTTAATTTTTTATTTTTGTAATTTATAATTTATTAATATTTAATTAAAATTTACGATTATGTAACATTTAAAAATTTTGTTTGTTTATAATTTTTTTATAAAATAGCAAAGAAATAAATAGTAATAATTTTTTTTTAATTTTTATATACTCTTTGTATAGCTGTTTATTACTATTTATAGAATTGCTGTTATGGATCAAAAGCATTAACTGGTGTATTTTTAGTGTATTAATTTTTTAAGCTTTTTCTATATCCGTATTACTTTTTATTTATTTATTTATTATTATTATTGTGGTTATCATTATAATTACTTATCATTATTACTATCTAATCGTTACTTTAACCATTTTACTATTTTTTACATGTTTTTACTATTATAATCGTTTTTGGTATTAATTGTGCTAATTGATAATTTTTATTGCTATTAAAAATTTTTATATGCAAATTATTCTTTAAACTGCTACTAAATGTTAAATAAATTGACTAAATTAATTAACTGCTAGACGATATATTATTTTTATTGTTTGTTTTATCTTTGACGTAAAATTGGTAGAATCTAAGATCAACAATTATTCATTGGTGGTTTTTGATTTTATCCTTTTTTTTTTATATTTATTACTAATAGTATTAAGAACTACAAAAAATATTATAGTTTTAAATATTTACTTTATTATTATTATTAATATTATATTTAAAAAAAAATGAGAAATCTATAACTTTTTATTAAAAGTTAATATATATATTTATATGTTACATAATTTTTAAGTAGATTTACTATTTTATTAATATATTATACATATATTAAGTTTTTACAGTTTTTTTTTATAACTTAAGCAAAGTTAATAATATGTTAATATATTTCTACGTATAAATATAAATAAGTGTGAAATGGTTTATTTTTTTTATTAGCTTTCAAGTTGATTTAAAACTTTTTAGGTAGAAGTTATTTTATATACTTATAAATTAACACTTATTATATTATAACTGTTTTTTTTTTTTACACATAAACTTTTGAGTATATTTATATATATTTATTAAAAGTTTAGTATATATTAAAATATTTTCTACATATGCATTTTCATTTTTTTTTTACTTTGTATTCATTAGCGGCTTCGTTGTAAAGTCTTTTATGGGACTTTTGCTCGTCGTTTCTGCTTTTATTATGGGAACTTCTGCACTGGATAGTTTGCAGAATGGAATTGGTATGTATTGGTTATGCTTCTTATAATATAATATTAATTATTGTTTTTTCCTTCTTTTTTATTAACCAATAAGATTTTGCATATTTTATTTATTAATTTTTATATTCTTTAAATTATTGAATTATTGCTTTTATGTTTATTACTTTTTTTAGCCACTTTTATGTAATATAATATTTTTTAGCTTTTGTACTACAATTTTACTAATAGTAAATAATAAAGTTATTTTTTGGAATTTCACAGTTTTTTTTTTATTTGTAGAAATATAGGCATCCTTTCTTTTGTTTCAATTATAGTGTATTGCTTTTAAAAATATATAAAAAAAAGCTGCAGTAAAATTCTATTTTCTATTTAATATTTTTTTTAAACCATCTTTCTGTATCGCTTTAAAAATAGTGAATAAGCTTACTGGTGACTTCGATGTTACCAATCGGCAGCATTTACAAAAGAGCTAAAAATTGGAGACTGTCGCTTATTGGTCAGTTCGTTCCCACCTTAGTACCTACCATAAATAATAATACATTTTGGGCTTGCGATTGACTAAATCAACGTAGATATTTTATAAACCTTTTAAAATTAAAAAAAAATTGTATCCTGCAGACTTTATTTTTCTTAAAGAAAGTTGGTAATGATATTAATTTATTTGGAATTGGTACCAAACAATTACATTTGCTTTTTAAAATTAATAAAGAATTAAAACCCTTTTCATACCGCGTGTGAGGATGAACACGAGGCTTTATGAAATACATGTTATTTTATTATTAACTCATAAATTAAATAATCAAATTACTTCGTTTATTATTATTATTATTTATTTTACTTTTTTTATATTTCAATAAAGACTTTTTTCTTGTAAGTTATATATTGAGCCGCATAAAAAATAGTTTATACTTTTTTAATATCGAAAAGAGTTTCGTTAGAAAAAAAATTTTGTTAGTAAACAGGTTTGAAAGAATACAATTTCTTTGCCTTTTTTTTAATAATTTTTTTTAATGTTTGTTAGTTTGGTTTTATTATAACTTTTTTTTATTTATAAAAAATTGCAGTTTTAAGAATTATATAAATTTATAATTACTTATAATAAATTCATTATTACAATTTTTTATTTATCTAAATTTAATTTTTTGGGCTATTTACTTACTTTTCTTATTTTAATTAAAATACACATTCCTATAAAAAAAAATTCTGGCCTTTTTCATATTGAAAATATCGAACTTACCTGGTCCTTACTTAAAATTTTTACTTAATAAGATTTGTAGTACTTCTTAAAGAATGTTTTAGAGAAAAGGGGGTAACGCTGTGAAAATTTATTATATCCATTAATACTGCTAATGAAGCTCTGTAATTACAATATAAGAATACTTTTTATAAATAGCATACTTATACTTCTATCCTTTGGAGTGTTGATATTAATAATAAATATAATACAATTATTATCAATCATCTTTTACACTAAGTTTAAGTTGTATGATTGCCATAGTCGCTTCGATTTCTGGCGTGCTGTCTCCTCGCCTTCCTCCCCGCGCTAGTTTTTATGCATCACGTGCGTTACTGCTTGTTTTCAACATCCCATTAGTCGTTCTTGCCAGCTGTGACCTTAACGCGCTGGATTTGTTTGCTGTTTCTAATATACTGGCCACCATGACGGCGTTTCCCATTGGCTTAGGTTTTTATATTTAGACTTTTTCGTAAGTTTTATGGAGAAATAAATTTAATTTAGTAATAATATTGATTATATTAATGAAGTAGAGCTTTACTTATAAATAAATTTATTTTTATAAAAGCTATAAAGATAAATTTATTATAGCGTTATTTAACATTCAAAAAAGTTTAAAATTTATTTCTAATTATTCATATTACAAAAAAACTTTTTATTTTTCAAAGCTTATTAGTTATATTTGTATTAATAATGTAACTATATTTATATATTATATAAATAATTAGTAAAACAACTAAATAATCTTTTTTATAAAAAGTTCATTACAAGGGTTTTTAACAGTTATAATGATATTGTTATAGAAAAACTTATAAAAAATAATATATTATTTGTTATTTACAGCTTTTTTACATTATTATATGATAATATTGTTATTAGTAAGCAGTCAAAACTTTTATATAACTTTTTTGCTGAAGTAATAGAAATATTTTGTATAAGAACTATAAAACAGCGTGCTATTTTTTAATAAGTGAGAGGCTTAATTTATTAGCTTTTGATATAATACTGATAATACTATAATAACATTGGTTATAGTATCCAAAAGTTGTTAAACGCCTTAAGAGGCTTACACCTCATAAAGCGAATAGTAAACTCCATTTAGTTTCATTTTCAACTGTGATGGCATTATAAATTTTTTTTGATGTATTTATTGTATATAAATAATATAAATAGTACAATCATTACCATGAAATTTTTTTTTTGTAATTATTTATGTTTACAGGAATATTTACAAAGCTTAAGTTTTCTATGTATATTACGGATTGTGTGCCTTTTCTTTCCTTTTGCTTGTCTCTATTGAGCACTATGGTTTATGCTTGCTGCGTTGAATGGAAAAAAGAAGTTGCTTTTGGAGGTGCTTGAAGCTTATATATATATAATTTTTATACATTTATTATATTTGTTTATTGAAATTATTTTCTTTACTAATATTTAATATATTTTTTCAACATTAAATTTATATTAATTTTTTTATTATTTATTTATAATATTCATTTGATATATATTTTAAAATAATTATTTTCATATAATAATAATTTTGTATGTTTTTGTTTTTTGTAAATTGCTTTTTTTAATATATATAATTACTAATTTACGTAACCACTATGTTTTATTGTTGACAGTCAACTTATTAAGGGGCTTGAGAAAAGCCCTTTATGGTAACGAGTATAGTTGGAAGTTTTACGCTGTGAGTTTCTTCTCTTCAATTTTAGCCACCGCGCTGCTCTCTTTTATTAATTACCTTCGGGTATTATCCCTATTCTTATTAAGATTTATTTTTTATTTTCAATTAAATGAGTAGTTTTAATAATTGCTTCATTTTTTGGTTTAGTTGAGAAAGTTTTTTATAAATTTCACAAGAATCGTTTTGAAGTCGTCAAAATCTTCAGCTAAATAAAATTGATTTATTTTTACCTTTTTCTTTTTTATATTTTATGTTAACTTGTTTACGAAAATATTAAAATCCAAATCTTGGTAAGCTCAAGCTCTGCCACATTTGCCGGGAAGTTGTGTCATTTTTTAAATTTTAATGCCTACTGAATTTTTTAATTTTAATTATCTTTGAAGGATAAATAAAACATAAAGTGTGCATGCAGAGATCCGGGGGAGCGGGTGACACGTTAATTTTTTAACTAGTTTTTTAAAAACTTAAATCCCAAATGCACCTGTTTGGCTTTAATTTTAATATGTATATATATAATTTTTTTTGCGGTAAAAACATTAAAAATAATCATTAAAAATATTGTACTTTACCTCATTAAAATTGTTAAAAGAAGGCGCAAAGGAGTTTATTTTTTGACCACTAAAAGTGAGAAACTTTAACCCAATAGGTTTTTTGTTTAGCGTAAATATTGTTACTGTTTAAAAATAACTGACTTTTTTGAAATCACGTACACCTTTTTTTAAATGTTAGGGATCTCTTAGTGTGCCTTTTATTTTTTTCTGTAAACTTTAAAGTTGTAGATATTCTTAGGTAAATTGAAGGAAAAAGCCTAAAAAATTAAAGCCGTTAAACTATAAAAAGAAAAATTATTGTAATTTGCTTAGCTTTTGTAAAAGTGGATTTAGGATATTCTTATAAAAAAGGGGGAAATTAACTATTAAAATTTTAATTTTTGGCAAAAAACTATTAAAAGTCAACTGAGCAAATATCCGAGACCATATTTTATAAAAGACACTTTTTTTTGGCGAAAAATTACATCTATAAAAAAATATTTCTTAGACGTTACATATATAACTTTATTTTTTTTATAAAGGCTTTTAAGTTAGCCATTCTCATTAAGTGTTTAAATTACATAATTTTAAAATGTAGGTTTATATTCAAAGTCAAAATAAGAAGTCTTTTAATTTAATTCTGTCAATAATTTTATAAGGGAAATTTTTTTTAAAAAATATGCTTAGCTTATGTTTACATACTATAATATTTTCAACATAAATTTTAAATAGTCAGAAAAATTTTAAAAGTAAATAGGTTATAGCAGCTATTTTATAAATGTAAAATAAGTGTGACTGCCACAACAATGATTATTTGATAACTAAAAGCTTGAAGCCAACTGAACATCACGTGAGGCCACTTTTCATAATAAACCTTTTTATTAATATTATTTCCGGCTCATATAAGCGTAGTTCTTACTAACTTTAGCGCCTCTAAGGTAACACTGAAAGAGAGAGCGGAGTAACTTAATTAAACTAGCTTGCGCCAACAATAAAGGTCTGAATCTCTTTGCCGTAGCCTTGTAGGTACTTGAAGTGGTCTATAAATTCCCAGACTTCCCTACTTAAAAAAGATGCGGATAAATTACTATTAAGTACTTTCATTTCTCAGTAGCTTGTAAAAAATAATTTAATCCGTTATCTGTTCAGAAGTCAAAATAATAATCAACTAGGGGACGTCGAGTTAAGAATTTGTGCAAAATGTTTAAACTTGAAGTAAGATCAATTAAAATGTTTTGTACTAAAGAGAGCGTTAAACCTGCAGGGGGTAAACAACGTTTAAATATGTTTATGGCGAATTTTCGCCATCTTTTATTACAAGTGAAAGAATGGCCAAACCAATTTGTTAAGCAATTCTATTTAAGATAATCCACGTAAAGGTGATCACTTTGGAAAATACAAAATTTTTAGATGAAAGGTATTAGGTGTTCACCGTTAGAAACTAAAGAAATTGTAGAATCTGCTGTCAGTAAGTGCCTATAACTTAGTGAAGGGCTAAGTTGTAAAATTATGTATATAAGCTAGCTATAGCTTCTGTCTCGGTTCGAAATATCTTTTTCTTTTATCGCGTGGTTGCGGATGGTTTGCTTCTCGCGTTGGGTAGCGCCTCTGGGCTAGTGAAATTAATGTTTACAATATAGTTTTTGGACCGAATAATCTTTACTATACTTCGGTTACTAGAGTACATAGTGTCAGTGCACTTAAATAACGTTTAAAAATCTTTTAAAAACCACATTTATTCAAGACCATGTACATATGACAAAGGTAAGCGCAAGGTGTGTGCCCAAACTTCTTGCCCAACTTCCTAAACACCAGCGTTTGGGTTGCTATTATAAATATTTTAAGCTTTTCCAAGATAAATGATAAAGAGTGATCTAGTCCGTGGTTACTAGAGAGAAAACCATGGATCCTTATTAAGATACTTTATCAAAAAGAAAATCAGTAAAGGGGAGTCGTCGGGCTGAAACGCCCACCAAGAGAGCAAGAAGGCAAACCCAAAATTATGACCACAACTTTCTGCGCTTTCAAGGACACTTTGATAGCGGATTTTCAGAGAGGAATACCACCGCAAATGGGATGTAATACGCAAGTTTATTACACAAACTGCTTGATGTCATTAAAGAAGAACGGCTTGGAAGCTTGGGCGAGATATGAGTTATCTCCAGAACAGTGCTCCGGTTCATACCGACGCATTTGCTAAAGCTACAGTTCGTGAGTGTGGCATTACTGAACTGAACCATCCGCCTTACAATCCAGACTTCAGACCTAGCGACTCCTCTTTCAAACCTGAAATTGGATTTAGGAAAAGGAGAATTAACGAAGGTAGTGAAGTAATATCGGCCGTTTATGCTCATAATGAAAAAAAACTTTAGACTATTTAATGGGGGTTTAAAAAGTTAATTACCGATATAATAAGTGTTGCAAAGCGAAGATCACATTGAAAAATATTGAAAACTTTGTCGTTTCTTCTTAGCCGGAAACTTTATGGGCCGAATCACTTACGTATACACATAGTAGTTCAGGAATATTATTCCTGATTATTCGTTAGTCCTTATTAATAATTTTCTGTTAACCATATATTTCCTTTAAAATAAACTTCATATATTACCTTGCTGGTTTATTTTAAAAATAATCTTTTAATGTTCTTTGTTCTTCTTATTTTTTTGTAAGGAATACTCGTACACAAGAAAAAATTAGTAGTCATTATTAAATTACTATAATTTTGCCCGAGCACTTCGTAGGTCAAAAGGGATATAAGTTTAACGCGACATTTTTAAATATTTTTTGTTATATAAAAACAAACAAATAATACAAAACTACTCAAAATCACTCATTTAAGTTAATAAAAAAGGAAGTAGAGGGCTGACTTCTTTTCAATTTATATATATAACAAGGATTTTTAGATCCTTGTCGGGCCACTTCTTAGTAAGTATATATATTCCGAAAAAGCGTAAAATTTTTTAGATTACTCCTATCATGAATAAACTGAGTCTAATAATGTTTATTTTTGTGTACAAAACTTATTTGTTTTAATAAACTAAAAACTCCTTATGCTTATGAATCCCTGGTGCGCGCTTGCTTGGTTTAATTAAAGTTGCTTGTTCGATAGAGTGCTTGCCTAAACGGAAGAGCGGATAATATATAACCTTTTTCAAAATAAGTTGAGCTTGCAAGCTGGTAGGCTGTACAACTTTTTCTACATTTGTCAGCCATCTCAAACTTGTGTACTCTTTTAACGGATTTACCTACTCAGCCTGAGGCGTCCTCTTTTGGAGTTGCGGTAATTTCAACAAGACTTTTCTAAGCTTAAGATTTAAGCAAATTCATTTCAAATAAATGATTAAAAACTAAAGAGAAAAGGCTAAAAGATACTTTTACATTAATTAATACGAGAAAAGAATTTAAATTAAAATACAACTTTAAAATGAACGAGAATTATAAGTTCAGAAACGAAACAGATAAGCTTTTATTATTACTTAATGTATCACTCACTGCGTTGAAATTAACAAATTAACACTGAAAATTGACCATCAAATTATTTACTTTCATGAAAAATTCTATAATAAGCTTTTATTGGAGTTCGTTAGCGGTAAATAAAAACCTTTTTTGATATTAGCGGTCAAGTTCGGTTTCTAATTAAAGACATTAAAATTTTCTTCACTACTGTGTTTTTGCTATAAGAACGTATAAGAGAAATATCTGTTAAATGACAATATACTTATAGTTTTTTTTTTCCTTATTTACTTTTTTTTTTAATTCTTTAAAGTGCTACAAAATTATTAAATATTTTATTTTGTTTTGTGTACGCAATATACATATACATTCCAATTTACGAAAAGTAATTTTTCTTATACATATATTTTAATTCCTTTTAACTCTATTAAAGGGTTTAATTATGACTCAAGAAATGATTAATTTGATTTCTCGTTTGGAAAAAGCCACCGAAAAGTTGGAGTCTATCGCAGGAATTTCTCGTATATTATATTATTTTTTAAAATTAACTTTTCAAAGATGGCTTTGATTTATTTTAAAGCGCCTTCTTCTACAACTTCCACTTCTGCCTCAAATAAAAACTTTTTTATTTCTGCTTACGATGAGTTTCTTTCTTCTACCGTTGATAAATATGTAGAGGCTTCAAAGAAATGTGCCGCACCCGTTTACGAAATAGTTATTGATTTCTATTTTGTTTTTTTTTTAAAATTTAATTTTTTATTTTTATTTAAAATTTAACTATTTTAATCAATATCTATATTTCTTATAGTATTAATTTAATAAGGCTTTACTCGTAAAAGAAGCGTTTCTAGCACAACGTGCCTTCATAGCTACAGCAGGTGACTGTAGAAAACCAAATCAGAGTGAATTGACATCTCTTTTTAAGCCTCAAAAAGATGCAATTGTTGCTATTTGTAATTATCAAAGTAAAGATTTAAATGTGAAGAACCACATTAGAGCCGTCACGGACTCTGTAATTGGTAGTATCTTCTACTCATAACTTTTTTAAAGAAATATTATAAAAACTAAAGTTTTTATTTTATATCGTGTTTATAATTAAAGGTATATTATTAACTAGTTTATTAATAAAGTTTATTACTTTCCTATATAAAAATATCTATACTTTTTAAAAGTTTGTTTATTTCTTATATATAAATTTATATTATAATAAATACAAATTTTAATAAACTTCATTATATAACTATTTAAGAAAATATAAAGTTTATTTATTTTTATCTTTCTATAATTAAAAGTGTTTTAAATATTATTACTTTTGTATAGAAAAATATTTATACTATTTGAAAAGTTTAAATATTTTCGTTGCTATATTAAACTTTATTATAAAATAATACCACAAAAGTAAAGTTTATATTTTTTGTCGTTTTAAAAATTAAAATGTATATTTTTATAAATTAATTAATAAATTTTATTATTTTTGTATGTAAAAAATTATTTATATATTTTTCTAAAAGTTTCATATAAATAATCTAGAGTATATCATAATAAACTTTATTATCTACATGTATAAAAAAACCTACAATTAATATTTTTATGTCATCTTTATATTAAAAAATATATATTTCCAACTATGATTTTAGTTATTTTTGTAAATAAAAAAAATATTTATAATATTTTCTTAAATTTTTTTCTTGGTTTTTATATAAGAAGTTTATACTATGATATACTTTTAATAAACTTCATTACATTATATTAAATAGAAATTATAATTTTTTTAAGTTTATATTTTTTTATATATGGAATACTATATATTTTATAACTACATAAAGAATTTTTGGTAACGTTTTATTAAAGTTTATATTTTTTGTTTATATGTTTTTAAGTGTTATTTGAAATAACTTATTAATGAAATTTATTATTTTTGTATATATTAAATGTTTATACTGAACTTTTAAGTTTATATATATCTTTGAGTTTTTATTGAAAAGTCTATATTTTAATATAATTAATAATAAACTTTATTACGTCAATATATAAAATTGTTCTAATTTTTTTTAAAAGTTTATTTTTTTTTCTTTTTTATAATTTACAGTGGATTTTATAAATAATTTTTTAATTGAATTTATTATTATATATAAAAATATTTATACTAAATTTTCAAAGTTTATAATTTTTTCTCATTTACGTTATAAAGTTTATATTATAATTTAACTTGTTAATAAAAAAAATTTTTATTTTATTATGTTTTATAAAAATATATATATAATATTTTTAATAATTATATTTTTATTAGTTTTAGATTTTAGTTTACTTTCTTATAAACTTTATTATGTTTGTATATACGGAAATATATATAATATTTTTTTAATATTTCTATTATTTTACTTATTTTATAATAGCACTTGAGTGGGTCTCTCAGGAGGATCCCTTCAATTTTGTAAAAACTACCAGCGAGCCGGCCGATTATTTTGCTAATAAAGTTCTTCAAGAGTACAAATCTAAGGAAAACCCAAACAACCAATGGGCAAAGGAATTTAAGTCTTTATGGACGGGATTAGCCAATTACGTTAAAGAATATCATGATAAAGGATTTTCTTATAATCCTAATGGTTCATATACTCCATAAATTTTTCATTATCTTATCAACATAAATTATTTTAGGCTGTTCTCCGAAATCCTGTGAAGAAAAAGTTAAGCCGAATTCGACCACTTCTGCTAAAGCAACTTCTGGTTTAATAATAATAATAATAAAACTAATAATAATAAGTAGCACATTACTTATATATAATCAAGTATGGGCTACAAATCTATTATAATTTTATTTTATTTAAGTTAATATTAATAAACATTAATGAAGAGCGTAGATATGAAATAATAAAGTACATAGAGAAGAATTATTTTTAAAGAAACTAATAATAATAATAATAACAATAACAATAATAAATATTTATAAAGGAGGAACTTTTGAGTTGTTTTCAGCACTTAACAAAGGCGGAGACATAACTAAAGGACTTAAAAAGGTTGACAAGTCTCAAATGACGCACAAAAATCCAGCCTTGCGAGCTTCTTCTGTAGTTCCTTCTGGTTATTCTTATTTTAAAACTAATACAAATATAATTATTATTTTTATACAAAATAAAGAAGAAAGAATAAATAGAGCGTACAATAATTATTAATTTTTATATTTATAATGTTAATAATATTTAAAAGTTTTCAGAACTATTTTTAGCACATGTGCGCTCGCATTAAAATTTTGTTATTAAAAGAAAATGTTTAACGTGATTATTTAAGGCTATAAAATAAGGAATATGCTAACATTTGAGACAATAAAATATTCTAAAAATATAAAGAATAATATAAAACAATAAAATAAAAAAGGAATAAAAATAATTAAAAATAATAATAAAAAGTTTATAGAAACGTCCCGCTGCAGTATGCTAGTCGTATGTTTGCTTTTAATTGGATAAAATAATCCAATATGCTATAGAAATAATGAACCCCTGCAAACCCATTTGCATGTGTGCATAAAGGAAGAAATCTTGTGTTTTTTTTTTCCTTTCGTCCATTTGTAAATTTTTGTAGAAAATGACCAATTAGAATTCCGAATGGTTTTTATAGCGACTGGAGCTCTTCGGCTATTTTCAACTTGTTTTTAAATGCGTAACAGAGAGAAACTTAAATTTTATTTATACTTTATATTCTGCATTATTGGCGTTATTATTGTTTTTCTTGTAGGATATTCGTTATATGTTAAAGTCATTTCCTATTTTTTTCTTATCCGATCTGCTTTCATATTTACATAATTTTATTGGACATTACACCATTTCTATTGTCGTTACTAATTTTTTTTGGCCAGTAAAAAGTTGTTCATGTTTCATGTTTTTTTATTACTCATTTATTATACTAAACAGGTTTAGTATAAACAATTAATACAATCACTTTGGTTATACTTAAGAAAGTTTTAAGGGAAATTTATAAATTATTTTATCTGGCCGATCAAATATAAAATAACTCCGCTAATTCACTATTATTATTATTATAATGGACATGTACTTTTATTTAGTTAATTTTTTATATATATACATTTTTAATAAAAAGTTTATAATTTTCCGTCTATACAAAAAAAGCAATGCTTCTTAAAAAAATGGTTACTTTTTATATATATACTTAATAATAAAAAGTTTTTACTTATTTTTTAAAAATATTTTATACGTAATTTTATTTTATTTTTTAATGTTTTATTCTAATTTTCTATTTTCTTTACTTAAAGAAACGCCCAAGAAAGAAACATCCACTCCCAAACCCACCAATACGAAAACTTCTGAAGCTTCGTACGAGCACGTGAGAGGAAAAAAGCACCATTTTGAGTTTTATAAAGGAGACCATTCGCTGAAAGTTCCAGAACCGACCATTCAGGAGAATATCGTAATTTTATAGGCCAATCACTTTTTATATAATAAATATATTGAACTTCTAAACCAATCTGTATTGTATGATAAACTTCAGTTTTTGTTCCAAACTCCAATGAAAATGTAATATAAAAACTTGTAAATAAGTATGATGAATTTTTTTTAATTTTTATTATTACTGTGAAAAATATTGTTTTAAAAATTAATACATTTTGTATTAATAAAACTTTAGTAAATTTATATCGATATAAGTAATTGTTTAAAAAAATATATTTTTTAATTCTATTATAAACTCATAAAAGCTTTATTGTTTCGAGTAAATATCAATAACAGAAATTTTCTTTATTTGTATATAAGTATAATTATTTTAATAAAAATAGTTAATAATTATAAAACAAGAATTAAAATAAATAATAAAGTTAATAATAAAAGATTATTACTGTTTAATAAAAATTATGATTTACAAATTAACTTTAATATAATTAGTAAAACAAATTTATTATATTATAGTATTATATTATTATTTATCAGTATATAAGTATAATAATTATAATAGTAATAGTTAATAATTATGAAATAAATATGAAAATAAATAATAAAGGTAATTATAAAGAAGTTATTGTTTGAAAAATTATTGATTTTTACTAAACAACTTTATATATAATAAAGTAAAACAAATTTATTTTATTATCATTAATATCATAATTACTAGATACTTTACAAGTGTGAGAATTGCACGCTTCAAGTTAAAGGCAAATGCAATAATATTGTTATTAATAATTGCAAAAAGGTTCTGTTTTTTTTATACAAGGAAAATAAAACTAATAAATAATACTAATAAATATTAGTGAAACAAATATAATAATAAGACTTACTAAGTACACAGCAGATTTCATTATTTGATTTATTTAATGATATGAAAAAGAATTTTTTAAATGATATAATATTTGTCTTAAAAATTTTTTTATAAAATGGAAGTTTGCGTACAATAATAAAGTTACTTTTTACTATAAAAATAACAAACTTTTTTAAATTTATATATTAAATTCTATTATAAAATCTTTTATATTATTTTATTATTTAAATGAAAAAAATTTCAACCAAATTTTTTATTGTTAAAATTTAATATTTTTTTTAATAAATTTATTAACTGAAATATTGATAAATATTATTAAAATTTTCCACTATATTAAAAGTATAAGTATACTTGTGTGAATACTTATTTATAAAGGTACTATTGAAACAATTAGTTGTTGTATTTTATTATTCAATAAAAATAATTTATAAAAATATTTAGATATAATAGTTTAAATGTTATTATTTTCATATAAAATTATAAAAAATCATCTAAAGAAAACTAATTATAAAAATGGTTATATTTAAAAGTATTATTACTGATTATAAAGTATAAAAGTTTTATTATTATATTATTATTCAAATTAAGTTATAAATTTAAATAAATATAAAAGTTGTCATATAAAAAGTATTGTGTATAAATATTTTATAATAAAAAAGTTTTATTATATTATTATAGAAACAAATTACTAAAAAATTAGATCTATAAAATTAATTAATTATTAATTAATATATAAATTTTTATATTTTAATAAAGATTCTAATATTTATATGAATTACTATTAACAGTTATAATATTTAACTGGGATTTATATATAAATAAAGTTATTTTATTATTAACTTTAAAACTTAATTTTAAATAATTATAAATAATTTTTAAATCTTTTAAATATTCAAAATACAAAAGAAAAAACTTTTATGGGTTGTTAATTCAAAATAAAAACTAGAACTTTACTAAATTATTATAAGAAATCTTTAAAACTTTACAAGTAAAATATAATGAATATCAATTATGTTTATTATAATATGAGACATTTTATATTTATTAAATTTAATAAATATAATAATAAATGACTGTATAAATAATGAAATTTATAAACAAAATAGATATCTTGTAAACGCTCTTAAATAAAACAACAACTTTCATACTACCCAAATCCTTGTCTTCACAGTTTTTAAAGTTAGCAGTTCATGAAAATATTATAATTTTTTTTATTATAAGTTTTTAAAATTAACGAATAGCTTTAAAAATTATTTCAAAACGATTATAGCATTTTATTTTATATTAATTTACAAAAAATCTCTATTTAAAGAAAGTGTTATTGATTTTAATATCATTTTTATTATTTTTTTACTTGATATAAATTTATTTATTAAGGTTTCTTTTTTAATAATTATTGCTATATATAAGTATTACTTCTACTTGTCATAGTTTTTTTTGGATATAACATATTTTTATTTTTATTGCTACTTAAAAAAGTTATATATTTCTTATTGATATATAAACTTTTCTAAGGTTTTATATTTCTTTAATATTACGGGTTATTAAAGTTATCTATAAAATTACTATAAATATGTTACTAACAAGAAAGTATTTTTCACTTAATACTAAGAATAAAACAAATTTATATTAGTTAAAAGGTATTACGTGTTATTTATTTATAATTTAATTTAATTATAAAAAATTTTTGTTAGTAATTATAAATTTTAATATAATTACAAGATAATTTATGGCAACATTTATTTTTTTAAAAAACTTCACGTTCCCTCTATGAAATATAACCAATATAAAAACTTTTTTTTCGGTTATTAAAAATTATTGGTGCCCTTTAAGGTTTCTTATTGGATAAATTCGAATATAATTTTAAATTCTTAAAACTAATTGGTTGCGAAAATTTACTAAATTTATTATTGGTTATTTATTTTATTAAATCTGAACAGGTTGCTATAGTTTTTCACACGGTCATTTCTTGTGTGGAAGTAAATAATTCTGTATCCTGCCAAGTTCAAGTGTTGGGTTTGTTTGTTTATATAAAAAATATTTTTTTATAAAAAGTAATTATTAAAAATATTTATTCATGTTAATAATATTTTTCTGATAAAAATCATGAGTTTTTTGAGGTTTTTGAAATAGTTTCTCATTACTTAAAAAAAAAGTTTTTTATCAAGTCTATTGAAGTAGTTAATATATTTAATATAATGATGTATAATAACAAATATTGTTTGACTATCACTCTATTATAATTATATAATTATACTTTTATTTTTACAAGTTAAATAATAATTTATTAATCAATTTTATTAGAAATTTTTTTTCATGTTTTATAATAAAATTTTTGTTATGTAAAAAGTAAACAGTTTCTTTTATATAATATAAAGCATTTTTACCTTGATGAAGATATATATTAAATTTATTATAATAAATATTTCTTTTAAAAAAATTTATAATGAAATTTACTAAATAATAATATAAATTTATATGAACTTTTTAATTTCTTAGATTTTGAATAACATTTTTTGAAATACTTAAAATTTAAAATTTTCTTTATTCATGTTAGAAATAATATTTTATTATATAAAGTAAACAAATTAAATTTATTATAATTATATATTTAAAATAAATAAGATTATAAAAATATTGTACAATAATTATTTTATTATAATAAAATATATATTTCAATAATTTATATTAAAGTATATTATATATTTTATATATATTAACTGTTCTTAAATAAATTAAAATAAAGCTTTTTTTATAGTTGATCATAAGTAAATTTAAATAACTAAATGAGTTAAATTGTTAATAATAGTTTTATTAAAAAAGACACAAAATATTTTATTCAAGAGTTTTATATTAATTTTTTTATTTTCAATTATTATTTTTAAAATAAATAATATTTAATATTTAACTGTAGAATACAATTTTAAACTTTCTTATACCAAAATATTATTGAATTATAAATAAATTTTATGTTTGCCATATAAATTTCTACCAAAAATCTTTAATAACTAAATTTTATGAAACTTTTATTTCTTGATTTGGCTTTTAAATAATTGAAATACGCCGCTTGAAAAGTATAATAATTAATAATATTTATAAGTAATAGCATTATTATTATCTTTATATAAATTATTGAGGTTCTGCGCCAATGATTACTCTCGATAAGGTGGACGGCTGCCAAATCTATTTAAGTAAAACTTCGTTGAATACCGAAATCATCACAGCGAAGACGTCAGAAGTAAACGTTAACGTTTCTGGTGAAAGTAAGAATTTTTTTATAAAAAGTAGTGCTGAGAATTAACGTATAATAATAAGGAAGTTATCTTTACTTAAAGTTGTTATGATAAATAAATTTATTTTATATAATATTTATAATAAATGATTTATTTATATAATAAAATAATAATAAAATAAAAAAAAAGTGAATTGTTATATAATAAATATTTATTAAATTAATATTGATAATAATTTATAGAATAATATACTATAAAAATTACTTTTTTTTTTGTATGTAACTAATAATTATTAACAGTAATTAGAGTATTGCTACATATAAAACTATTTATAAAATAAGTTGGAAAAAAATTAAAAAATTAAAAAATTTTTTTTAGTAAAAAAAAGTGGTACTTATTTTTATTGTATTTATATTATAGACATCTAATAATTTACTTTTTTTATGAATTTTAATAAATATTTACAAGAAAAGTAATAAAAATAAGTTAAGGAGTATATAATTTTTGTGTTAACTTTAAATATAATTCCTCTTTCTTATAAAGAAGCATAAAGTTATTATATAAAACTATTATTTTGAAATTTGTTAATTCTTTTAAGCTAATAACAACTGTTTTATTTTTGTAAGTAAATATTATTATATGTATAATAGTAATTAAAAAAATGTTTTATTTATTTTAAATTTATTATAAACTAATATCGCTATAAAAAGTTAATGTTTATTCTAATAAAAAGCAAAATTCAGACCATTTAACTTTTATAATTTTTTTGTAATCGTAAATTTTAAAAGAAATTATTAAATAATAGAAACTAGATAAGATTATTTTTAATTGACAATACATGAAAATTAAATACTTAACAATTTTTTATTTTTCTAAGAATTTTTTATTAGTAAATATGAGTTTATAAAATTAATAAAACTGATAATTCTTAATTTTTATAATTTTAATAAATATTACTTATAATAAATTACTAACAAATAATTATTAAAAACCAAAACATTAAGCAAATTATTAAAAAATAAAAATAATAGAAATCAAAAATACTATTAAAGCTTCTTATTAAATTTTTTGGTCTTATATTAAAAATATAGAATAAATAATTTTAATAATTATTTTTTATTTTTTTCTTTTAATATTATAATCAAACGAAAAATAATTAAGTAAATAATTTTTATTTCATTTCATAGAATTTAATAAATTTATATTAAAATATAAAAACTTTTACTATAAAATTATTTTATTAATGAAAAGTTAATAAATAATTTTTACTTTATAAATTAAAAAAAAAAGATAAACATTTTTTTAATTAAATATTATTATGCGTCATTATCTTAAATTTTTATTTTTTGTAAAATATACAAATTTACTATAAATATTTTAATAAATGATATATGAATTGATAAATTGAAAATATAAAAAATAAAATTTATTATTCTTCACTTTAATTAAACATTGAATAATATACAACTTTACTAAATAATAATTACAAACAAAAAATAATTAAGTACATAATAAATTAAATAATAGAGGATATTTATATTAAATTGAATATAATATATAAACTATAAACTTTTATATTTATAAATAAAAAATCATAAAATTTTATTAAAGAATAAGGAAAATTTATATTTCTCTAATAAAAAAATTATTAGATTTATTTTTTTAATAATAATGAAGTTATAAAATTAAATAACATTAATTAATAATAAAAAGTAATAAATAAATTTGTAGAATCTTTAAAGTTTTTTAATAAAATTAGAATAAAAAAATTTACTTAATAATTTTTTCTTTATAAATTTTTTTTTGATTTTCATGTTTAAAATTTTTTAATATATATTTTTCTTAATAATTTCTTTTTATCTTTATTAAAAACTTTTGAAAATAATTTTTATTTTAATGAAAAGTAAAAATTTATTATTTCTAAAGTTTTTTTAAAAATACTTTAAATTTAAATTTTTGTAGTATTATTAAAAATTTTAAAAATTAAATTATTAACACTTTTTTTGTTTTTAATTTTGAAATAACTTCTTTTTAAGTGTTTTTTATTAGAATTTATAAAAATAAAACTTTTATTTAAATATTTATTAAAAAAATTATTTCTTTTTTATATTGTACATAAATAATATATTTTTTATAAATACTTTTAATTTTTTTATTTAATTTTTTTCAAAAATAACTTTATTTATAATAAATAAATTTACGCTATTTATAAAGTTTCTATTTTTTTTATGTAACTTATATATATATTTTTTTTAGTTTACTATGTAAAAATATTATTACTTACAACATTTATGAAGTATATATATTTTTTAATCATTTTTATTAGTTATTACTATAATAATAAAAGTGTATTTCTTTGTATCGATTTATATTAGCGATTTAAAAAAAAAGATTAAATACTTGTATAAAAATTTGAATTTATATTTAGTGCTTTTTGGGTACAAATTTAACAATTATAATTATTATATTTAGTAAATACAAAAATAATAACTACTTGTATTATTTATTATAATTTTGTATAAAAATAAAAAATAACTGATATAATAAATATTTTATTTATATATAAAATAGTATATTACTTTTAACTTTAGGTTTTACACAAAAATAGTAATAAATAAATAAATAAAATATTTTTAAATTTATATTTTTATATTTAATATAATTGTTAAAAATATTAATAAGAAGTAAAAAATAAAATTCTATACTTATAAATATTATTTATATAAAATACAATATAGGAAATATATAAAAAATAGAAAAATATTATCAATATTATATTTATTTTAAGAAATAATGAATAGACATTCAATTAATTAATGAGTTCCATATAAAAATAGTAAAGAAGAAAACATTAGGAATTTATAAAAAAATATTTTTTAATATATTTTTATAAGAAATAATAGTAAAGTGAATATATATAAAATAAATAATTTTAAAGAACTTCAAATAAATACAAAAAGATTTAATAATAAATGTTTTGCTTTGGAATAAAATAAATATTTTACTTCTGTTATAAGGTTTTATTTCTACCAGTTTTTATTAATAATAGTATTTATATTAATATTAAAATTATAAATATAATAAATTTTTTATTATAGTAATTAAATATAAAACTAATTAAATAATAAATATGACAGTTCTACTATAAAACAGTTATTAATTTAACTAATAATTATAAATAACTTAATTAAAATATATTTTTTCACTGAATTTAAGGATTTTTTGAGAATATTTATTTTTTATTGATATTATTAAGCGGAAACTGAAGATCCTGTTGAGTACTCTCTTCCTGAACAGTTCAAAAATGTTTGGTGTGCCAAAGAAAAGAAATTTTGCACGGCGCCTGTAACCCACGGTTGAGCTGAAAATCAAAATGGAATTATATAATAAAAAAGATAAGTTTTTACTTAATTTATTTATATATATAATTTTGTTTGGAATATAAATAAAAGTTTCAATCAATCCGCTAATTTTCAATTTTAAAATTCTCAGAGAAATTATAAAGTATAAAGGCAGTAAACAAAAATTTAGTAAAATTTATTACTATCAGTCAAAATACTTCAAATTTCTTATTATGTCAAATTTGTAGTTCTAAACTTCCAACTTCGCTTAGTTCTTACAATTTTAGTATATAGCACCCTAATTATATATAATAAAAGGAAGGTAGGAGTAGAACTCTTTATTGAATTACTTCGCACTACACCCGCCCAAATGGTTATTATTTATTAAGCAAGTGCGTTATTTAATGGTTTTACACCTTGCTTGTCCGCATGCGCGTATTAACAAGTTAATAATTGAGGTCGTTGGTTTCACATGGTATGTAATACATGCAATCTTCAATCCAACTATTTATTGGATGCGTAGCGAATTACAAAAACTAAATTAAAAAAAACCTTTTTTTAAAGAAATAAAATTTTCACGATTCCTGAGACTCGCGCTTTTGTGCCGGAAATCAAACTTGGAGTACTCTTTACCTAATTAAAAAGTTTGTTTTGTTAAATATATATTAACTATAGTTAACCAAAAAGATAATGTTGTTTTTCATAGAACCTATTAAACTTATTTATTATAAGAATTTATTAACAAAAAAATGGTAAAGTTTTTTAACAAACACGCTTTATTAAAGATGTTTAGAATATAGAGAAGTTACAAAGTAAATAAAAGTTAAGTTAGTTACTAGAGTCAAAATTTAATTATTTTTAAAATTATTTTGTTTTTGCGAAAATAATGATTTTTCGATTAAAAAAACATCCTTTCACTAGTTAAAAAATATTTACTTATAACTAATTAGATAACACTTTTTTATACTTAAAGGTAGAAGAGAAAAAAAAATTCAAAGGTTTTCTTTATTCAAAAGTTAAATGGAATGATAACTTTTGATAACTTTGATAGAAAAAACCTTGGCTGACGATATAACATTGATGCTTATAATTTAATTGATACAAACACTTAAATAATTTTTTAAATAAGATTTTTATACCCCGCAAGTTTTTTATTACATAAAGAATAAAACCTGCAAATTCGCTTCCAGTATATATATATATACTTCCAATTTTCTTGATGCTGTTTTCTTCCTCAGATTTCCATAAAAGCTGTAAAGTTTAAAATTCTGCGCAGTTAAAAACTTTTAAGTGTTATAGTTTTTCGAATTAGTTTATATCGCAAAAATATATTGTTTGTTTTAACAAAAAATTAAAAATAATTATAAGCCTTTTTTTCAAAACGTGTAGAGATCCTAAAGGTTGACCAATAATAATGATCTCTTTAAAAATCATAAACTGATTGATGTTAAATCAAAGAAATTAAAATGATTAATTTATTAGGAATCTTTATACATGATAGTGCTCAAAATATTTTCCTGTCGGTAGAGACTACTATTGAAATATATAAAACTGCCAACTTTGCAAATGTGAAAACTTTGAATTGCTACAAATTCGAAATGTACTTTTTTTAATATAACAGAAAAGTGATAATCTTTAACGAATCCTACTTTTTATTTATAATTTTTAGATATTTAGTAGTGTTTTACAAAAACATAAAGTTAGAAGGGGGCAACTCGGGCGCTGTGTAATTTTATGTGTAATAACTATTATATTTTTTATTTATATCTCTTCGAAAGCTAATTTTTAAATACAATATAACTTACCACAAACAATATATTGAAAGTTCTCTTTTTGCAAAAAATAAATTATGCTACTAAGGAATAAAAAAAAATGTCAATAAAAGATATTTCTTTTCTTTTGGTGTCAAATAAAATTTCATAAAAATGAGTTCCGACAAAGAAAAAGAATGCGAAGCTGCTTGATAAAATGTAATTTAATTCCTCGCAAACACAATATTTTGAAGTCCTTATTTTTGTAACACGAAATTACGTTTCTTATGTAAGTATGAAATGTCACTAATAATATAAGATTTCTCTTCTTTTTTTTGTAAATTAAAATATTAAAAATAAAAGATTTTCCAAAATTTAATAAAAATGCGATCTTATGTAATATACAAAAAAAACTATAATGTAATAAATCTTAAATAAATGAAATTTATTCTAAAGAAAACTTGTATCAAAGTTTTTTTATTTTCTCCATAATTTTTTTAATATAACGGAGCCTTGAGTAAACTTTTGGAGCTGTCTCTCTATTATTATATAAAAGAATTAAAATTTATTTGAGTGTGAGATAATAATTTATTAATCTATTAAATTACTAATAAAAAGTACTTAAAAAATTTATTAATTTTTAGCTAATTTTTGAAGTTAAAATATAATTTTTGTAAAAAAAGTGAATTTTTTTGTTTTATATAAAAATACATATAGAAAAATTAAAAAGGTTAAGATTATTGTATAACTTTAGCAACATTTCCAGCGAAGAAAAATTAATAAGAAATTAAAGATTAATTTTAAATTATAAAAAACATAATAATTATTGGTTTTTAAATTGTTGCTTATTATATAAAATATTAGTTGGAGTTTATATATTTTTTTCAAAAATACTTATAAAATTAAATTCGTGAGTCATAATTCTTTAATATTTATTTTTCTTTCAAGTTATTTATAAATCTCTTAAATTTAAATTTTTAATATAAAAAGTTACAATTTTTTCTTAAAAAAGTAATTAAGAAAACTTAAAAATTAATTCTTATACGCTATTTTAAAACTTCAAAAAATAAATAAACAAATTTATATATTAAAAATATTTAATAAAGTTGTACTAAACTGTATTTATTTAACAAAATTATTTTTTAGTAGTTTTCGTTTATTACTTTCTTAAAAATTAATTTTTTTTAAGTAAATTAGTTCTTATAAATTCCAATTTATATTTTTTTTCTTTTACAGCTTTTTATTGTATTTAAAAAATTTTTTAGTTATGAAGTATTAAACTTTTATTTTTATTGCTCCCTTATACTTTAAATTACACCTTTGCTTAATTAAATATAAATTATTTAAAAGTTATATTATTTTAAATTTACTTCATTTTTAAAATAATTACTAATTTCCAAAATTTAGTTTTTATTAATGATTTTTTCCCTTTCATTATTGTATTAAAAATTTCTTAGAGTTTATTATTATTAACAATTTTTTATTGCTTCCATTTCTTAAACTGCCATTTTTGCTAAATTAAATATTAATTTTTTATGGAATATTTTAAATTTACCTCACTCTAAAATTATTACTAAAATCTTTAATTTAGAATTTATTAATTGATTATTATTTTTCCAGTTTTTTATTGTTTTAAAAAACTATTCATAGATTTAGTTTATTAAACAATTTTTTTATTGCTCTTTTTTTGCTAAATTAATTATAAATTATTTAGTTATCGTAATTTAAATTTACTTCACTTTCTAAACTTATAATTAAATTTTAATAATTTTATTTTTTGTATTAATTTTGTAGGTTATTATGTTAATAAATATAAGTTTCAATATTTTTTCCGGAAACAGTTTTATAAATTTTCAAATTAAATAATTTTATTAATTTAAATCTAAAAAAAATTTAATTTCAAATTATTTAATTTTGATTTATTTAAAAAAAAATAAATCTTTTTGCATTATAGATACAAATTTCAGATTTATCAAAAAATATTAAAATAAAGTTTAATATAATAAAACTTAATATATTTTGTTACTAAATTATTTTTGATTAAATTTGTTACTTTAAGTTATAATGCTTTTATTTATATTTATTAAATTTTTCGTATTTATCAGTAGGTTATATGCTTCAATTTTATTTTTATAAAATTTAGAAAGTTTACTTTTTTACATTTTATACTTTATTGATATGAATACAATGCTTTTAAATATAATTATTTTTTATTGGGCTTTACTTTTATTATATTTTTTAACAATTTATAAAAATTTACTTTTTTATATTATATAATTATACTTTATAATTAATAACAACGCAATACTCAAAGTTTTTTCTACTTACTAGTAAATAATATGCTTTATTTTATTATATTCTTTGAAATTAATAAAAAAAATATGCTTTTTTATATTAAATAATTTTACTTTACTATTAATAAATACATAATATTTATTAAATTTTTCATATTCATCAGTAGATAGTAAGCTTTACTTTTATGTAATTCTTTAACTATTTTATATATCTTATATATATTACTTTGCTATACTCTCAAGCCGATATATATGAAAAGAACTTTCTTCATTAATATAAATAACAGTACGACTTTCACCCGCTATAATAACTTTTGTGTGATCGAAAAAGTTCACCTTTTTTTATAAATTTTATAAAAAAAGTTATAATAATAATAATTAAAAAAAAGTTAATATTAATATAAATAGTAATACAAAGTACATAAAATATTATAACTTTTATATGATATTGTTTTATATATTTTTTTAATGGAATATAGCTTTTACATTTATTTATAACAAAAAGTTATAAATAAAGTAATAACCAAAAAGATTTAAGTGATATTAATATAAAAAATGTATAAAGTAAATAAAGTATAATAACTTTTAAAATTATTATTATTTTATATATTCTTTTATTGATTGGCACTCGCTTATATTTTTTATATAAGAAAAAGTTATAATAATAATACATTATATTAATAAAGATTAGAAATATAAAGTTAAATAAAATCATATTATCTTTATAGTAATTATTACCTTTCGTCAGTTAGTACTTTTATATTTATTTATTAAGAAAAAGTAAAATAATAATTATAAGTACTATTAATAATGAATAGAATAAATAAATTATAATTTTTATAGTTATTATTACTTTGTATATTTCTTTTATTAGTTAGCATTAAAATATTTATCAAATAAGAAAAAGTCTTAATAATAATAATAGTAAATAAATAATTATAAAAATAAAAAAAATAATATTCATATTCATTACTGTTTAATAAATTTTTATTTAAATATTTTTTTTATATTTATTCAAATTAAAAAGTTTTAAGTTTTATAAATTTGTAAACAATAAAATAAAGTTATAAATATTTTTTTTGTATTCTAGAAATGAATATTATAGTTGTATAAATAAAAAATCTATAAAAAATAATTAAAGAGTTTTATTGATTTTTTTTTATCTACAAGTAAAAAAACAATGAAAACAAATGAAAATTATTAATAATAATTAAAGTATAAAAAGTACTATAAAAGGTTTAAATCTTGCAAATAATAAAAATGTAAAAAAAAAAGCAATTATAAGTAAAATCTACTTTAAAAAAAATAGTAATTAAATATATAATAAATAATATTATAAAAATTATACTTTTAAAAAAATATTAAGTAAAATAAAATAGAAAGTAAAAATTACTTTTAAGTAAAAAATTATTATTGAAGAGGGGAAGTACTATTATTAATATTGCAATAAAAATTATAGGTAATTATAAAAAATAATATTAAAGTACGAAGATTTCTTACAGTTATAGACAAAATAATTATAGAAATATAATAATTAATATAAATAATAATTATAACTGAAATGGTGATACTAATAATTATAATTATAGAAAAAATATAAATAAAATAATAAATGAAATATATAAAAAATTAAAACATTATAACAAGTATAACAAAATATAGTAATAAAAATGTCAATAATTATAGAAATAATATAATAGAATAGTAATGATATTAATAGTAATAATAAGTACTTGAACGATTCCCGAACTCAATACAAAAAGCATTCCACAATCCGTGCGCACGTGCTTTTTTAAAAAAACAAAGTTGGCGCCTTTTTCAAGGTTTTTTTCATCTATAGAAGGAATATTGCTTCCGCTCTATTAGTATTATTCAAAAGATTATAAAAAAAATTAAAAAAAAGTAACTTTAAAAAAAAAAATAACATATTTGGAAATTCGCGTAAAAAATATGCATAATACATATTATAAAGAGTAACTATTTTGTAAGAGATATAAAAAAAATAAAATATAAATAAGTTAGTAAAGCAGAAAATAATTATTATTGTAAAAAAAAATAATAATAAAGGTGTTTATAAACTTTATTAAAAGTTATTAAAAAAGCGGCAGACATCACTACCAACATTGAAAGATATTTGTTTTACCAACAAAAAAAATATATATATTATATTTAGGCGGGACTCCCAAAAACATGCCAAGCGCATTAAAATGTACGACTTCATTTAGTTAAATATAAAATGTATCGGTAAACATATATATTGTATTAATACGAAGAAAATAAGACCCTAATTATTATTCTTTTTAAATTAACATGGCTAAGTTTATTGGACCATAATAATTAATTACTAACAAAAAGCGAAGGAAGCATTAAAATACTCAGTATTCTCAATAAGAAACTTGCTGCAGATAATGCATCAAATAGTAACAAAGTAAAGGCTACAGGCCCCTTTTATTAATTTTGTAACAAATAATATTAAAAAGATCAAGATAATCTCTAATAGTTAAACTGGTCAAATATTGACCATATATTGTATCTAATAACGCTAATAATTTAGTTTGTAACAAATAGTTAGAAATAACAATTTGTGATATTTCTGTAGCAAATCAAAGATTTATGGTACGTAAATGAATCTTGACAAAGAAAGTTTATAACTTCCAACAACTAATAATAAAGTCCGAGTTTATATTAACTGTAACAATTAATCAATATAAAAACTGCTATAACTACACTTGAAAGTTGAAATATACAAAAGTACTAATTATATAATTTGTAACAAGTAAGTTAAAAATTGCAAGTTATTTTATTAGGCATGAAATTTACTCATGTTTTTTTATAAATAGTATGTCATTATGGGCTTCTGTGGCCATCTAGTTTTAATGTATCTATTTAAACATTATTGGTAGCAAAAAAGAATTTGACAAGTTTAAAATATACATGCAGAGTTAATGGATAGCGAGTCACGAAAATAAAGGGATAAACAGTATGTAAACTTTTTTGTAGCGAATACATCAAAAAAAGAATTTTATTTGTTAAAAACAGCAAATAACAAAAGTTTGTCTGAATAGTATTCTTTTTAAAAAAAGGTGAAATGAATAATATAATTTGAGTCAAATAATATAATTAATTTTCAATATTAAATTAATCGTTACAAAAGGTTGGCCATGAACTTTTATTGTAGCGGTATTAAAACTATTATCATCAAATAATTGTTAGGATGCAGCAAATAACAAACAAGTCTAGGAAGTATAATTTGGTTTTTTATGTTTTAAAAAAGTGAACATTACAATAATAATTTGAATCAAATAATATAATTAAGTTCCATATATTGATGAAAATAAATAAATGGTTACAAATAGTTTACCATGAGGAGGTTTTCAGTGATATACTGTTTATAATATTTTAGTAAAGTTACTTTTTTTTCAAGCGTTTCTGGATAAGAAGTTAGAGAACCAGAAACTTTTTCTCCATCGTAGTATTCGAAAATACTAATAAAAAAAATATGTTGATACTTTTATTTTTTTAATATAAAAAATATTAAATAATAAGGTTACACAACTTTTTAAATCAATGAAAAAAAAGTATTATAACATTTTCTTTTACAAATATTAATGCACACTAGAGTATATTTCAAAAAAAAATACAGAAAAATTTTTACTTTTTAAAACTTGTAAAATATAATAAAATTTATTGCTTATATATATTATAAAATTATTATAAAAAATATAAATTTTTATTGTTTGTCTCAATGCAGTTTTTATATTATTATTAAGAATAATTGAATGACTACCACTATATATTTTTTATTAATTTTGATTGGTCAATTTAGAAAATGTCATAAAAAATATTTTTCTAAAAAAAAATTTTTATTTTTTTTATTACCAATCCAAACATAAAAAAATAAAAAGTTCATTTTTAAGTATAGAAAAAAGAATTTTTTTGAAGACTTTTTATATTATAAATATTTAGTGTTAATAAAAAGTTTATAATAATAATTAAAAAAAAAATAAAAATTATAAACCATTTATTAGGATCACATATAATCTTTGTAGAATCATTAAAAGATACGCCGATGCTACCATCACCTAAAAATTAATAAATAACAATATATAATAGTAATAATAATTAGTATAATGCATAATAATTTTAATTATATATAAAATGAACACATTATTATTAATGTTAAAAAATATATATTAAACGATTTACATAAAAATTAATGAAAAATATAAAAATTATAGAGGGGAAAAAATTATACTTTTAACGATAAATAAATAACAAATTGTATTATATTTATATAATAGTGATAATATTCCAGAAAAGTAATAATATCAAAACATTATTATTATATATAAAATAAATAATATTTTTTAGTAAATAGTAATATATAATATTAATTATTATTATTACTAAATAATAATATAGTATGCTACAAGTTAAAAAAAATTTATAAATAACAATAGTAACGATAATAATATTTATAATATAAATAAAAGGAATAATAATAATATCATGAAATATATATATGTACCGATATCAAAACATAATAAAATAAGCAGAAACTACAAGCTAACAAAATTATAATTATTGTAATGTAAGTTAAATAATAATAAAATAAAATATTTTACTAATTATAAAGAATGTAGAGATAATATTATTATAATAGCAACAGTAATAATAAAATTGGTAATAATAATAATTATAATAGGACCAATAAAAATATTAATAAAAAACGTAAGAGGAATAACAATAATAATAAAATTAACAGCAATAATAATAAAAAGATTAATTATGAAAGTATTGGTAATGATAATATTTATAATATAAATTATAGTAGATTTTAACTTTCATACTAAAAATAATATTTTTAAAAAATTTTATAGTAAAAATAACAGTAATAATAATATGACAATATTATTAAAAATAAAAAGAACAGTAATAATAATGGCAATAATAGTATATTGAAAATAAAAATCACAGTAATAATAAAGATAAGAAGCCACTTGTTTCGTACTAAGTTCATAGCCGAGCCCGTATTTCGACGAATAATCGAGCCAGCGAGAGACCCAGAGCAACGGCGGTACGTCTTCTTTATCTAATAAAAGTTTTATAATGAAAATAATTTTAAAGGTTAATAAAAAAGTTTTTTTATTGTTATGTAATAAATAATATATTATAGGATTTTTTAGTTGACTCTCATTTTTATTATTAATAAAATATTTTATTCATACTTTTTTAAAAAGAATTTAATAGTACATTATTATTTTATTTAAATATATATTTCAATATAAAAAAATAACTTTATTTATAACTTAATCGTTTTTTAATAATAAAAAAAAGTTTATAAAAAGAATTATTTTATAAAATATATAAATACTTACACAATTTTAAATTTATACTTTTATACAAATAATATTCCAATTTATACAACCATTATTTTCTACTTTTACCACAGAAATACTTAAATTTGCATATACTTTCATTATAAATATTTATAGTTGCATGTCTTGTTTTTTACTTTTATCATTTTATAATCAATATTTATATTTACGCAATTATTATTTACTTTTATGATATTATTAACAATTTTCCTATTAAAAATTTTTACTAGTTTACTTTTATGTCATAAAAACACTAATATTTGCACAATTATTATTATTTACTTTTATTATATTATAAATAACATGTATATTTACACAAGTATAATTTCTTTTATTATATTATCAAAATTCTAATATTTATATATTTATTATTTTACTTTTATTATATTAAAGGTAATATTAATTATTGCACAATCATGATTACTATAATTCAATTTACAAACTTTAATTGTTTATTAATTAAACTTATAATGTTATTATTAATATGAAATTTAGTGTTTAATTTGTTTCAGGACTTTTACTTTTTAGTTTATTGAAATTTTTAAATATTCATTAACTTTCTTTTATTTATTTTTATAACTTTTATATATTTATACATATTCTCATTTTTAATGAAAACTTTACTATAAAATATGTTAAGTTTTTATTACTAACTTTTTTCATTTTATAACTATATTTTATAATATTAATATTTATTAATACTTTTTAAAAAAAATGTATATTAGTTTATGCTCAAAAAAAAATTAATTATAGTTAGAATAAGAAAAGAATAAACTAAAACGACCGAGGGTTGAATAAAGTGGTGTTAACAAGTCATTATTTGGTACGCCAAAAAACTAAATCACGACTTAGAAAACTCACTTAAAATTAATGGAGGTTTAAAACTGGTCGAGTCGGAAAGAACCAACGAATCAATTAATTCGACTAGCTTATCTACTTGGTCGTTCATAAATGGCTTCGTTTCCAGTGGCAGAACTCCATTAGCGGGTTGAACTTCTGGTCCTTATAAAACGTAAAGTGAATATTATCGGGTGCAAATTAGTAAAAAAGTCTTAACTATGTAAACCAATGAGATTCACAGATTGTTTTTTCCTCGTGAGTTGTTTGTCACGTGTATTTCGATGATTATTGGAATTTACGTAACCGTAATTATTAATATTATTATTATATTTTTTATTACTATAAACATTATTATTATCACTATTGATATTCTCGTTAGATTCTTCTTCAGCTAAACTATTTTTTTCCTGTTTATTTTTAGGTAAATCTTCTTCTTCTCCAACAGGCTCTAGAGAAGATTTCATTATATCTTTTCCAATAAGTTTACGTGAGTTTTTTAACTGCACAGCCGCTGTAGTGTCTGTTTACAATAAATAGTTAACAAAAATAATAAATAATTAAAATAAAAATATATTAGTAATAACGAAATAAACAATATGATAATAAATATTTTATATAAACATCAATAATAATAATAAATAAATAAACATTAGAATAATAAATATATAATAAAAACAATTATAATAATATATAAATAAACATAATAGTAAATAAATATAGTTGATAAAATTGATAAAGAAAATATTGAATAATAAATAATTTTGATAAATTTAAAAAATTTAATATTAAAAAATAATAATAAACAATGAACATAATAAAACTAAATAAAAATAACAGTTTTAAAAATATTGTATGCCGAAAGTTTTGGGCTTTAGAGTTTGAAAATGGGAATAATAATATCCTAAAAAATTATTATATAATAGACTTTTTGTAAAGTCCGAAAGAAGCACGTGTTGAGGAAACAATTGAAGCAAATCATTGGTTGAAAATTCTGGTGGGGAAGACAGCGTACTAATAAACATTTTGATTAATAATAATAATAATAATAATAATAATAATAATAATAATAATAATAATAATAATAATAATAATAATAATAATAATAATAATAATAATAATAATAATAATAATAATAATAATAATAAAGACGTTAGTGGTAAGCAACGTGGGAGTTTTCCCGAATAAAAAAAGGGATGGCTGGCGATATCGCATAGAGAAGGGCGCGAGTTGGGATCGTTGCTAAGCATGCATTGTATTAAACTTGAGGCTTCCTGTGAAATATTTATATCTAAAAAAAATATATAAAAACAAATATTTATTAGTAAATATTTTTGAATTTTAAAAAATAAAAGAAAATAATAATAATAAATATTATAATGAAATACTAATAAATAGTAAATATATATAAACTAAAAATAATAAAATATATATACAACATAATAGAAGAAATAAATATATATGTAAATTTTTTATTCATATTATATAATTCAGTAAAAAAGTATTAATCAATAAATAAATCTAAAAGAGTATCATAAAGAAAAAATAAATATAACATAATTAAAAAAAAAGTATAAAAATTATAGTAAATAATATATAAAGAATTTAAAAAAAATTAATATATAAATATTTAGTAAAAATCACATAATATTACAATAAAAAGTATAAAGTAATAAAGGAAATATATAAGATTAAATAAAAAGGTAAAAAAATGAATATAGATATTATAATAAATATAAAAACATTTAATAAATAAAATAATATATAAATATACATATAAATTATATAATAACAAATAAAAAAATAGTAATAGAATAAATATAAAATACATTAAGAAAAAATGTAAATTATAATATTATGAAAAAAATAAATAATAAAATGATAATAGATATGAACAATATTATAAAGAACAAAATAAAATAATATATAAAATATATTATATAAGTTTTATTAAATATATGAATAAAAGTAATTTTGAAAAATCAAATATATATAATCTAAAATAAAATGTAAAAATATTAAAAATGTATGAAATAAAAAATAATTAAAAAAAATATATAAGAAATATGTAAACCATAAATATATATAGATATTAAAAATCATCCGAAAATGTATAAATAACAAACATAGATATAAGTTTTTTATTAAAAAAATTAAATGCTACTAAATATAAGATATATTACAAAAAAGTATCAGTATAAAAGTATTAATATATTATATATATACATGAATTTTAAAAAAAAGAATATAAGAAAAAAAAAGTATAAATTTATTAAATATAAAAAATATTTAATTGTGAACTAATAAATAATAAAATATAAAGGAGTCAAAATAAAAAAGTATATATTTATCAAATTTATAGATATAAACAAAAAAATATTATTAAAAAAATTAATAGTACTGAGAACTATGAGTAATATAAAAAAAAGAATAAATATATTTTATATATATATACACAAGAATTTAAAAAAAATTAATAAATTATATAAATAATACAATGAACTAAAAAATAAATATTGAAATAAATTAATACTAATAAATATGAAAAGTATATAGAAAATTATAAATAAATTAAATATATACATAAGTATTTAGAAATAAAAGAAATAATAATATCAGAAATATAATAAAAAGTATATATTTATTATATATATACATAAGAATTTTCAAAAAAAATAAAGTAGTGATAATAAATATCACAAAAAACTTCGATAAATGAAATATATTTTAATAAAATAATAATAATAAAAATATATAATATATGAAAAAAGTATAAATAAATAAAGCGCAACATAAATTCTAAATAAAATAATATAATAAATGTAAGAAATATCGTAAAAAAGTAAAAAAAATTAAAATATATATATAATTCTTATAAAATAATAAATATTTGGCATATATGAATTATAAAAAAATAATAAATATAAAAGTATGAATAAATAAAATAAATACACGAGATATTAAAAAATAACAGTAATAGTTATAAACGGAAATAATAATAATAATAATAAATATAAGAAATCGAATAATAAGAGTATTAATAAATAAATTTATTTAAAAAAATTAGTAAGGATAATTAATAGATATAAAAATATACAAAAACAAGAAAAAAAATGTTAATATAAATAAATTATGTAAAAAAAAAAGTATACAAATACAAAATATAAAGTATTAATGAATTGAAAAATATATTAAAGGTGTAAAAAAAAATACTGGTAATAATAATAAATATATAAAAATAGTAACAACAATAGTAAAAATAAGTATATATAAAAATGAATAATAATAAAAAATAATAAAAAAGAGCGGAAAAATGAGATATTTATGAATTTTAAAACAATAATATTAATAATAGTAATATATCCATATAATTTATATAAAAAGGTTGTAATATATATAAGCAATATAATAAAAAAGTATAAATATATTCATAATAACAAAATAATAAAAGGAAGCACTTTGCGGTATTGAATATTTATTTTCTTTTATTAAGTTACAAGTGGCCTTCACGCTGTTAGTTTCAAACGGAGGTTTTCCTACGAGCATCGTATATCTTTATTAAATAAATAGAAAAATTATTATAAAAAGTATAGAAAATAAAAATAAATAGTAAAAAGTTAACATATTGTTTAAAATAAAATATATAATAAATAAAAAGATATAATAAAGTAAAAATAATAAAAAATAATATAAATATATATAAAAGTTAAAAAATGTATTACAAAAAGTAAAAAGATATTTTATTAAAGTTTACTATAAAAAATATATAAAAGTTATTATGAAAAGTATAAAAAATAAAATATAGTATAAAGCTAACATTATGAAAAATATATTTAATTATAATAAAATATATAAAAAGTAAAAAAAAAATATTGTAATAAAGTTTTTTTTTATGAAAAAAGGTATAAAAGTTATTATTAAAGTATAAAAAATTTATAAGATAAAAAAAATTTTATAATAATAAGTAAAAAAAATATTGTATTAAAGTTTATTATTAAAAAATATAAAATTTATAATAAAAAGTATAATAAATAAAAATAAATAGTAAAAATATTGAAAACGCATACAAAAATATATTCTATTACAATAAAATATGCAAAAAAGAAAAAAAATAATATTAAACAATATATTATAATAAAGTCTATTAGTAAAAAATATAAAAGTTATTATAAAAAAGAATAAAAAACTAATAGTAAAAAATTATATATTTTGGAAATATTAGTTATAATAAAATATATAAGTAAAAACAAAATATTTATAATACCACCCCTTTACTTGTAAACAAATTATACAAATTATACAAAAATTAAAAATAACTAGTAAAAAGTTAATATTTGTTAAAATTTTTTTTATTACAATATATAAAATGTAAAAAGAAGGAATATATAATAATATGTATAAAAGAATTTATAAAAGATATTATTTGAATTTAATAATATAATAATAAATAGTAAAAAGTTACAACAATTTCTTTGAAAAATATTTTTTCTTGGTAGTAATAAAAAAAAGTAAAAAAATCTATAATAATATATTTATTTAATAAAAATATAAAAAAAAATTATATAGTAATATATTTATTTTGAAAATAATATAAAAAGTAAAAAGTAAAAAAATATTTATATAAATATTTTTATTTTAATAATAAGATAAATAAATAAAAAGTTATAAATATATGATATTTTTTAATATAATAATAATATAAAAAGTTAAGATATAAACTATTTATAAAGATATATTTTATTCTAATTATAACATGGAAAGTAAAGGTATAAGAATATATATTATTCTAATTAATATAAAAAGTAAAAAGTTAAAAATATTTATAAAAACTAATAATAATATAAAAAAAGTAAAAAGTTAAATATATTTTTAAAATATTTTTTATTTCGATAATTGCATAAAAAAGTAAAAAGTAAATAATATTTATAAAATTATTTTTCATAATAATATAAATATAAATAAAATAATAATAAGTAAAGCACTTACAAAATAACGCCGAGAGACCAGATGTCCACTTCATAGCGATGACCAATCTTATTTAAGATTTCTGGCGCAATATAGTTCGGAGTACCGCATAAAGTGCTGTTTTCATATAAAATATAAACAAACTTGTATAAGTATATAAAAAAACTAATAATAATTCTTACGTTCTATAAAATATATAACAAACTAATAACAATATTTCATACTTTTCATAAATATATAATAAACTTATAATAATAATAAAAATACACTTAAAAACTTTTAAGAAATATATAATAAATTCATAATTTTATATAAAATATACATACAAACTTTATATAAAGATATAATAACTTACATAGGATAATAAACGTACTTTATATATATATATTTTAAAAACACGTAGGTAAAAGTTTTCCTTATAGTAAAAGTATATAAGTAAATTTTTTCTTAGTTTAAGTCTCGAAAGTATATCATTTTATAACGAGGAAAGAAGAATAACACAATTATTAGTAATTTTAAATATAATAATAATAGTAATAGTAATTTCAATAATAATATTAATAATAGTAATAGCTACTGTAATAATAATAAAAGTAATGATAATATTTATAGTAATAGTAAAAGTAATAATAATAGTAATTATTTTAATAACTATAGAATGTTGTAAAAATAGTAAAAATTACAATAAAATAGTATAAATAATTATAATTATTTTTATAAAAATAATCTTAAGCACCGCCGGCGGTCAGAAGGATTTTGAAGGTGCGTTGCGAGTCCAAAGTCGCCGATTTTTACTTCCATTAATTCGTTTAGGAAAATATTGCCAAGTTTTAGATCTCGATGAATTACTTTATTTTCGTGGAGATACTAAAAGTATATTAAAAGTAAATAAAGATAATAATAAAATATTAAAAACGCAAATAAATAATAGTATAAAAAAAATAATGTATATATATATAAAAAATAAATAAATTAAAAAAAGTTATATAAATAAATTTAAAGTAACAGGATATTAAAAAATAGATAGAAAAATAAGAAAAATTTTATACAAATTTATAAAAAAGCATTAGATTATAGAAAAAATAAATAAATAAATAAAATAATAAAAAATAATAAAATAGAAAAATTAACGGAAAGGTAATATTTTTTAATAAGACTAGTTAAAAAAATTTACTTTTACTGCTTTTATTAAGTAAAGCATAAAGTAGCGCACTTCCAATTCTGTAAGCCGCTGCCTTAAAGAAATAAATTATAATATTAAAGTCGCAAAAAAGAAGTTCAAACAAAGAAGTTATTTATAATTTTTTATTATAATAAAAAAAAATAAAAAAATAATAATAAAAGTTTTTCATTGTTGATATATTTTGATTGGCTACAGGCAACTAAATAACCATTCCAAAATAATTTATTAAAGAATAATTTTCGGAAACATAAATTTTGGTGAAGTGATACTGAATAACATTAAATAAATAATTTTACTACCATCAACAAATTATGGTAACGAAATAAAAAAAATTTAAATTTTATAGAAAATTTAAAAGAATAAAATTTGTTTATTGCAGCGAAATTTGTTTAGAATTCAATTATTGGTAATGCCTAATAAATATTTAGTATATGCGGGAAAAATATTTTACATTATAAAAATAGTGTATATAAAAAAAATAATAATCGCTTAACAGCGTGCATAAAATTTAAATATAAAAAGTATATAAAATTCGTATATTTCTTAACAAGAAAGAAATTCACCAGGAATATAATTATAACATCGCTAACAAATATTTTACAATTTACTTTTATTATTGAGAAGTAAAAAATTTACTACATATTTAAAATTTCTAAATTCAAGTATAATTATAAACAATACTCTTTAAAAAAAATATATTTTAATAGCTAATACCTTTTTTTTAACAATTCCATTAAAGTTTGGTTTGAACAAAGTTCCATAAGAAGATAGATATTTGCAGTGTCCTGAAAAAAAGTGTTTAACTTCACTATATTATTGTGACATAAACTTCTGTGAATGGCTATTTCAGAGCGCATCTGTGATTCATACATAAAATATTATATTTATGTAAAATAGTATAACTTTTCGAAGTCTTAAGAAATAATTATATAAAATTATCCCAAACTTTGCTTAAAGTTCGGCTATCTTTTAAGGAACTTAGAGCAATAACTTTGCAGGCCCAAAGTTGTCCGCTATCTACATCGGTTACCATAAAACATTTAGCAAAGCCACCCTAAAATTTTTAGAAAAACATAGTAATAAATTGCTTTTAAGCCAAAGGTAAAAAGATTGTAAGTTGGAGACACTCTAACTTTATTCAATCTCACAATAAATTCCTTTAATTTAATATATTTCAGTATTAATGTTTTATACAATAAAATTATTCAATCTCACTTACAACAAATCCATTTAATTTAATATAATTCAGTATCAATTTTTTATATAATTAAATAATTATTTCTTTATGAATAAATATACTTTTCCTATTTCTGGGCCTCTTTTAAACCGCCTCCCATCTTTTTCATTGTACAAAATATCGGGGCACTCGATATCCAGTTGTTTAGGCATTTTATTTACAAAAATAATAAAATGCTTCCACTGAAAATAAAAATTAGCTCGAATTGGTATTTTCTGTAGATAGAACAGAAATAGGGCCGGGAGCCCACCCGCGTTGTTATTATATAAAAGTTAGTAGAATGAACTATACGCCTGTTGAGCTCGGTAGTTATAGGATAATTGCGCTACATTGGGTAGGGCGCGCGCGCAAATTAAGGTAAGGCTAAACACTAATATTTCAAACGAGGGCAGTCATGCACTATTTACTCTTACGAATGCAGAAATTTCGAGGTCGAAGAAGATATGCTAAAAGGAGCATAGACAACTGTACTATCTTATTAATATTGCGCCTGTGAGTTACGAGGAACTGTACCGTTTTATATACCAATAAGCCACTTTGACTTTCCTCTAAATTTTGGAGGCGTCGCGGCAGACATGCGCCCTGTCGTGCGCAGAAATACTTCACGACGCGCTCATCACCTATTATCCTCGTTAATATACTTTGACGCTAGTGGAATATATAAGAAGAGACCTTCTTAGCTAAGTTACAATGGAGGAGCAAGAAAAAAGTAATACCTTCTACTAGCCCTAGCTTATAGATTTTTGACACATGCAAACTTCGTCTGATGAGAGGCCCCTCTAACTTATCTACAAATATTTCTCAAAAGGCCTGACATTTCTTAGCATAAATTTACCGTTATTTCTAAATTACTTCCGTCACACGGGTAAAAAAAGTTATTCAGCACCAACTGCAACATTTTAACATCATTGCGGTAATTTTTAGCTATCCACATAACGGACCACGTTAAGTCTATGAAAGGTTTAAGTACTTTCTTAATGCTTTCCGAAAATTAGGCGTACTCTGTTAAGAAAACTCTTGTCTTTTCTTACGTCACATTTAACTCTCGCAACTTCGCAACTGGAAAAAGCATTGCTATTGTACTAATACCATCTTACATTACCATAGTTCTTCAAAGTTTTTATATAACTAGATGGAACAACGTGAGGAAACACGATTTACCAGCGTTTCCTAGGGAGCCACTTTTACTTTCTAAGATTCATGCCCTACTAGCAGTTCGACTTGCTTAATCGTGCTACGTAAATATTTAAGTGCCAAAAACCCTGCGTAAAACAAATCAAGTTACATGGCGAAGACTACGGACACGTTTTATCTACTGAATATTGATCAGAGAAAAAATATTACGATGGCAATTGAGGCGCTTAAAAAAATTTTATGTAAAACCTCCCAATATTATTTGATATAAAAATTAAGCAAAAGAGATCTCGTAGACACCCACTGGGTCCCCCATACTAAAATAACTGAGTTGCTTAAAAATAAACGCAACATCCGTTTTACTGAAACACGCTATAATTATCTTAAAAACACAAGTTGAAGCTGAAAGCCAGATCCACTAGCGTCAGCGTCCCGGGCCCAATAATTATGGCATGAATCGCAGAACATTTAAAGCGGAATAATGAATGTAAATATGGTTATATAACTATAAAGATTGCTTACGGTTCTAATGAAATTGTTAAAGATGGCAGGCCCTTCAAAATAATTTTCATCAAAAATTTACGAATTCTAAGCAGAGTGACCGTGCAATCTTGCGCTTAAACTAATACACTAATACATAATTTCTAAAACTGGTAGTATTAATATTAATTTTACTATTACTATATAATAATTATTGTTAAAATTAATAAATAATATATTCTGTTAAAAGAGTTGTTTCTGAGTCCTAAATAATAATTTCACCTTTTTTTAATGCGATGTTTATCAAAGCGAAAAATCTAAGCCTCCGCAATAGGAAATCGCTAAATAGGGTACAACTTATTACTTAAAATAGTTTTTTATTTTATAATATTAAGGATGAGTCAGAGTGACGGAGAAAAAGAGTAGTTGAATCGATATTAGCATAAACTGAGCAAACTAAGGACAAAGGTGGTAATAAATTAGTACTTTATATAGTAATAAAGTATAGTAGCACTATTAACTATATTTAATTTTTATTATGTTAATTATCAATCAACCATTAGCAAAAACTCACTAGTTGGCTATAATTAAAATGATACCAACGACATAAATTTTTTTTAATACGATTTGTTATTGGCGAAACCTTATTGCCTAATATGGCTACGTTGTTATAATTTATATCAAATGAAAAAGCATGATTAATTTTTTTTAATTTTTCAGTTTAAATATTTTATTATGCATAGCTGAAGTGTAAAGGCTTCTATTATTAACTTTATCCCCAGTTCATTGAAAAAAAAAAATAGTTATGGTGTTTTGTTTGTATAAAGAGTAGAATCGTGCCTAAAATTTGTTAAGATTCTCTTTAATTTTTGCGAACATTCCATATTTTTTCTTGCACATATTAAAAATTTTTGTTTAACTATTAAAATATTTAGCTAAAATTATATAGAACAGTTTTCTAAATATCACTATTTTCTTATCTTATAAAGTCGTTTTATAAATGTTAAGAACTTAATAAAGAATTATTAGGAAAGTAAAAAATTACATAAAAAAGTTTTTAATTGCATATAAACTTTTCACGTATGCTCGTTACTAGGATTTCGGTCTTATATACTCAGTTGGTTTTAAAAAAATGAATATGAATGGTTACTAACAAATGAAATTATTCATTATTTTAAACAGTTTGAAGTTAATTTAAACCAAGAATTGTTCTTGCAAAAATATTGGTATATTCGATGTTTACTATAATATAAATTTTAAAAAATAATGAAATTTTAAAAATTTTACCGTTTCTTGCCTTTTCATACAACCAAAAACTTAAAATTTTCTTTCCTTTCTTGTTAAAAAAAAAAAATCGGTCTCTTGTTATTCTATAGATTCTTTTTTCTCTTTAAATGTATACTATAACTTTTCAAAAGTAAAATTTTTGTTGATTAAAAAATTTTTAGAGGTGAAAGCTTCTCTTACTTTTTTAATTTATTTAATTTTATTAATTTTTAAAAGACTTTAACTGTAGTTATTTTAAAAAAAAATGGTACAAGCTCTAGTCTATTCATTCAGTTTTATGCTACTGGAGAACATAAAATTTTAATGATTTAATTGTTAACATGAAGTACAGAAATCAATAATGCCTATTTTAGTTTTTTGCAAGTAAATTAAGTTAATCATTATAAAGACATTTATTTGTAATACAAAAAATTAGTTTCCTTCAAAAAAGATTATTTGACGAAATAGTGATAGCCTTAAACCTTTTCAAATTGGTTTTTTTCAAATGCCTCATAAGACAGGCGCCCGTTTTCGAGAATTGTTCGGATAACAACGTCATTGTTAGTAGTACGGAAATAAGATCTAAAATTATATAATAATATTGGTTTAATAACTACAACAATAAAACATTTCTACAATATTATACAAAAGTTCAGATTTTTCAGGTTTTTGAGGCTCCCCTTTAATGTTTCCTCTGAAACATAAAATTTGATGCTTAGCTAGGACGTCCACTATAGGGATGCTTTTATCTTCCCTCCATTTTTCTACCATACCATGTTTGCAAATTACGAAAAATTGAAGGTGTTTAACTTTATAAAAACAGCATTCTGCCTTATTTTCCGGAAACATAGCCGAAAATTAACTAATGAACCTTTTAATATTTAAAAAAAATATATACCCTCTCTAACTTAAAAAAAAATAAATTTTTATATCATAAAATGTTAACAATTTAAAGGTTAAAATTTTAACATTTTTGATGATGAAATTCTTTTTGATAAAATTTTAAGCTAATAGTGGTTAAAGCCAAGACAATTATTTAGTACTTAGAAAAACCTAACTGAATAAGTTTCGAAGTAAAGGTTATTCAACTTACTTGAATTTAATTTATATATAGATTAAAATTGAAACCTACTTTTTTACATTTTGCGGTTTTTGTGGAACGTAAATGCGTTGTTACGGAAATTCTTGGGTTAAGCTAAACTTTAACTTTCACTTATTTTTTCTTACTCAGCATTCATATATACAAAGTGGTACTTTTGAGCTTTCAGCCTCTATCTTTAGTTGTAAATGAAAGATTGCAATGTTCTACTTTTATTGAAACTTTTAAAAATTGCTAAGGGTCTAAAATTCTTAACGTTTTAGATACGATATACTTATTTGCTTGTATGAGGCCCCTTCACTATTATTGTCTGATAATTGAGACACACAAGTGAGTTAATTAACGTACTATAATTTTAATTAAAAAAAAATTTAACCTTTACTAGTTAACAGTAGGTTATAAATATTGTTATACTTATATTTATAAATAGTAATTATTTTTAGCTGTATAAGATCGCTTTTGGGTGAAGCTTAATTTATGAATTTTAAAATAAAACGTAATTTAGTCATATATAAAAAATGCAATCTTTCTTATTAAGAAGTTATCTTGAATATTATTAAAGTCATATTTAAGAAAAAGAAAAATCAATTTTTTTACACAAGGAAAGAAATCTCTTTAAAAAAATTAATTGTAGTACATAATGTTTTTAACAGTATAACTAATTCATTATTGTAATTTACTACTTGCATGATATTTTTTGGTGAAACAACAAAACTGCTAACTAAATAAAAGAGGAATTAAACATATATAACAACTATACTTATAGAAGTCCTTAAAAATTAGCATATAAGTTACTTTATCAAAAATAAAGATTTAAAAAAGGTGGAAAACTGCGTAGGAGAAGAACTTAAATCATGTTTTATTGTAAACGTTAGAATGAAAGTAAGTTAACGCCCTTTAAAATTTTTTTCGCAACACAAAGAATTACATTATAGACAAAATTACTACTTAAAACAATTTTTTAGACTTAAGACATACAATGTTAATTCAATAAAGCCAAAATATATTAAAAAAATTTACTAGGAATAATTAAAGAAACTTAGGTGTGACCCAGAAAATGAAAGTTAAATTTTCAAAACGTAAGAGTTGAAGTTAAAGTTAAATTATAACCCTCTTTAAAAGCAAATTAATAAACTTTAAAAAAATGTATGTATAAAATTAAATAAATTCGAGTAAAGATGCTATTAAAAAATTTTTTTTATTAAAAGTAACTACCTTAACTATATAGCTTAGCCTTCAAAGTTAAAAAGTAATAAATAAAATTCGCAAAAAATTTTAAAAGCAAGAAAGAGGGACACGAACAGAGAATATGTTAGGCTTCAGCTCTCTTTAGCTGAGCCAAAAAAAAAGACTACGATAAAGTACCACGCGGACACCAAAAGTGCAAGCTTAGTGTTGGTTTCTTCAAGCTTTGAATTAAGTAAATATATAGAATGAAATAGGAATAAAAAAAATAAATAAATAAATTAAGGAAACAAGATTAAAATAACCACAGAAAAATAAGGAAAAAAACAAAAGAAAAAGCGTGAGAAAAGAAATGACAAATTTGCCTAGCATTCAACAGCTCCCAGTTGATTGCATTTATGCAATAAATTATATATTTGATTAGTATTGTTTTATTAGATATATTATTTAAATTAAATCCTTATCTTTTAAGAAAATTTTATTGCTTAATACTTAGCATAAGCCATTTTCTACAAACTCGGTCTTTTACAAAATAACGCTCGTAAAAAAAAAAAATATAACGTTAAACTATACTTTTTAACTAACTATTAATCTTTCATTCGACTACGCGCACTGACTGCAATCGTCATGACAACCTTTAAGGTTAAACCATGCTTAAGACAGATGCAACAAATAAGATTATGCTCTTAGGTTTGTCGTAGTTAGTGTAACAGTAGTGGTTGGATCTATATTTTTAAAAGGTGATATAGTGACAATTTATCTTTGTAAAGGCGTATAAAGTTAATTTTATGTTTTGCCATAATAAATACAACAAAAAAAGCTTATATTCATAATTAGTTTTCACACTGTTGTGCCAGTTACACAATTATTTATGTACAAATCTTCTTGAACCACTTTTAACTTTGTAAAGCTTTATTCTTTTAAACAATTCTTCTAATCAAAAAATTGACTGTAGTCAATTTTTAACTTTCAGAGAAATGACTTCGATTAGTAAGATCTTTATTGATGAGACTAATAATAAGGTCTTTAAAAAAAGGTTGGTAAGGCTCAAAATGCTAACTATTTTTACTGTTACTTAAAATATTTGATAAAATATTTTAGCCTTGTACACAAACTATACATAAACAAAAAATATATATATAAAAATGAAAACTTAGTAGTTAAAGATTTAATAATTATATCTATATTACGTAGCGGATAACATGAATATATTACATTTTAATAATAATTACGTAACATATATATAACTACTAAAAGATCAACTTTTTTTATACCAATCGCTGATAGTAAATGGTAAAAATTTCTATAGCCAATCAGTTTTATTATAATTCGTGATATGACAAGCAATTATCAGTTAAAGATATATCGGTGAACTGCAAAGGGGGTGGAGGTGTAGTGCGTTATAAACTATATCGTATCCTTTTGTATCCCGACAGGGCGTCCCTGCTTTGTTGCGCAGCGTTTTTTATTCAAAGTCTAAGTATTTTTCTAAATTTATCATCAATAGGCTATATTAAGTTATAACCAAATCGTTCAGAGCGATTTATTTAAAGGTCAGATTACTGTAAAATAAGAAGTTACGAGGGAGTAATTAATTACAATTAAAATTTTTTTTGTATTATATATATATTTAACTATTCTTATATGAATTTTTAAGAAACGCTTGTGTAACCTTGCTTCTTTTTGATTGATTAATTACCAGTTTTGTAAAATAGTTCTCTACCCGTACAGATGACGCAGGACGGATTGTGGCGTAAATTATTTACCGAAAGAATATGTGAACGGGATAGAATGTTAGAAAAGTTAGCTTTTATAGAAAGCAGTAAGTTTTTATGTGAGTATTACTATAAATCTTAATTAACCTTAATTTATAAGATAGTGAAAAGTTTAATTCTAGAAAGTATGTGAGGAAAGTATTACAACTATTTGGTGAAGTAGTCCTTAAAGACCACTCCATAACTTTTATGTTGAGTCTATACTTTGTTGTTTTATTTATGGTTTCTACTCTATTAAAGTAAGTTGTTTTGGATTTATGGAGGGACTTACAATATAAACATACATTTATGTACTTTAAGCAATATTGACTTAACGCCGTTGCTTCAAGCAACTATTAATTGCGATTTTACAATGATTGAAACCAAGGCTTTTTGTAAAAATTGTTTGTGCAGCCGATTCGAAAAGTTGACGATTAGTAATGTCAAAGGATTTATGTGGAGTTTCTTACTGTTACTAATTTTTTAATTATCTTTAATTTTTATAAATATATGTAGTGAGTTGCCTCTCGTTAGAAAGATCCAAGAACTTGAAATTGTTAATTCAGGTTCACATTTAGTAATATTAAAAGTTTATAAGACAAACTATCAGAGATGAAGTAAAAATTAAGTGTAGGAGACAAATATATAGTTAAGTATATAGTTAAATTAATTAACAGTTGAATTGATAACTTGTTTAAAAAAACTTTCAAAGTGAGCTGTAACTGAACTAAAAAATAATTTGGTTACTTTATAGTACGAATAAGTGCTATATGAGTAATATTATATTTCAAGGAATTACTGGATACACAAACATATCCTGTCCGGTTCTTAAAGAATTGGGAATGTTAATAATTTCGATTGAGAACAATTCATTGAGCAGAACATTAATATTTTTATTTTTAAGGTCTCGTCAAATCCATATATTATTCTATTGAAATATAATATAATTTTTCTTTTAATTTTAAATCGAAGATTCGTTAGCAGTTACGCGAGTAATACTTCATATTATATATATAAGAAACTGTTTAATTTCTTATTACTTTAAAAAGAAAGTTTTGATTTCATCTTAGCATTATCATGAACGGCCAAGCAAGATTTTAATCTATATTGATTCTTATTTCAGTTTTCCTGGCGTCGAAGTTATAGAAATTCTTCGGATTAAAGGATTTCACTCCGAACTAATGAAGTCATTAAATTTTAACTCACTTAATTATATAAAACATATGAATATTATCGGATCCACTTTTGAGTATTTATATATACTATATAATATAAAAAAATTTTATTACTATTTTTTAATAACTTCCACTTTTTAAGGGATGTAAATTTGACTTCCATAAAAAATGCGAATACGATTTCAATTTCAGACTCGAGTATTTCAAATTTATACGCCTCGGCTTTAGAAAATTTAGAGAAACTAAACTTTGACAGAATACGATCTAAGGGTAATATAAGTCTTCAAATGCCCCAATTACGGATGTGCGATACTTTATCGATTACCAATTCCAAAGGAAATTTGACTATTGATAGGATATAAATTTAATAGAAATGAATAAATTTTAAACAGGGCTTAAAAAAGTGGCTCTTCCGAAGCTTAAAAAAGTGAGAAGTCTTTATGTAGACCAAACAACCTTTACAATGGGAAATATACAGATGTCCAATCTAAATTGTTAGCCCAATTTATGGCAGTAACGACAGTTTAGTAAATTTTAATTACAGCTGTAGAAATTATTCAAATAACAAATACTAAAAATCTTCATACTATCAACCTTCCAAAGACTCAAGCTATAGAAGTATTTATAAATTTTTAAATAGTTATTATTTTCATTATGTATATTTTATAGCGAGTTAACATAATAAACACAATTGGGCTTCATAATTTCAGCTCTAACGCAAAAACTGTTCGTCATGCTACTTTTTTGCATAATACGGATTTGAGTAATTTATGTAACGCTCTTACTTTTCCATTTTTACTATCAATTTTTATTGTTTTTAATTATTTTAAACTTTAATATAATAGAAGGTATAGAGCTTTTACAACTGAAATTTTCAGGTATATTAACATTACAATTATAGTATTATTTGATAATATATATTTTTTAATTTAAAATTTGTGAAATTATATAAGATACTATAAGTTATAATTAAGATTATTACACTTTTATTTACTACTATCTAAAAAAGCTACATAATACAACAAAGTTCAACTTAGCTGAAACGCCTGTATATTTATTTATACTTTAGTAATTCCTAACTATAAATTATTTAGATAAGTATGAAAATTTTAAAGTAATATAAGCTAATAAAGATGATAGTTATTAATTTTGATAACTATTATACTTTAAAAAGCCGGAATAATTGGAAAAGTCAACATAATAAATCGATAATAAATTAGTTTGGAAAAATATATTTTAACACTAATTTAATAAAAATAATTTGTTTTAAAATGTTTAAGAATATATAATAATTATTTTATAAAAAATTTTTTATTCTTAATTATTATATTATAGAAAACTGTATAAAATTAAAAGGTCAACTAACTAACTAAATCAGCAATAAATTAGTTTAAAAAAGTATAAATATATATAATTAATTAATAATCTATATAAATAATTAGTATTAAAAATTATGAAAAAGTATAATTATTATTTTTGTCTAAATAATAACTGTAAATAATTTTAATTTCCACTACATATAACAACCTCTATAAAATCAAAACTCAACGAATTTGAAACGGTTGTTTACTTGGTTATATAATAGAATTTTAATAACTGATTAGTTCTAAAAAGTATAAAACTATATATTTTCTATTATTTTAAAAAAATAGAAAATTTGTATAAAACCAAGAAGTCAACGTAATTAAATCGGCTGTTTTCTTATTTATGTTATAGTAGTTTCCTTGAGGCATAATATTGCTTTAAAGTCTTTAAAGCTACAGTCTTTGGAATCGGGAGGGGTTATGGTTTTCTTAATTTTAATGTAACTTTTGTACGCAATTTAAATGAATTTCTTATAGATAAAAAACTGCAAAAACTTAAATAAAGTTTCCGTGCCAAAGTTTAAAAGGTATATTATATATAATTATTATTATTATAAAAATAAATATATTTATTACTCTTATAAATAATAATTATAATGATTATAATAATTAATTAAAAATATTATAAAAATTTAATTAATTACTTTAATAAATAATAATTATAATAATAATAAATTAAAAATATAAAATAATTAATATATTTAATACGTATATATAGTAATAATAATAAAGTAAAAATTTTATAATATGTATTTTTATTACTATATTTTAGAGGTCATCTTACGCTGATTGGCAATCCACAATTGTCTGCTATAATAACGAAAAGAAACAAATCTGTGAGCTATTATACTCAATAATTAGTAATAAAAAGAAAGATGTAATTATTATACATATAATAATAATAATAGCGCACGACGTTAATGGTATCCAACTGCTCAAAATTAAACGGAACTGAAATTGTAAGTATATCATTTTATAGTTATTGTAAATATAACGTAAATGAGGATTCCCTTTAGAAAATAGTCTTAATTTCATTTTTCTATAAAAATTTATTTTTTTCTTAAGCTAATTAATAAAAACGTCTTTTAAGGATGTACAATTAAATGAGGCCCGGAATCACTGTAAAAGTTCAAATTCTTGTGAGCTTTGTTGTTCCCAGTTGTACAAATTTTACTAAAAATTCAATTTTTTAGCGAGTTTGTTTCACTTAATAACTTGTGCGATGATTAAAAATTTAGTCAACAGCCAGTAATGCCATAAGATGAAAAGAAAAACAATTTTATTAATATACGATATAATAAAAAAAAAACAGTTCCTTATTATTATAATATTTATTTTATTGATTTATCGTTTTGACATACTACAGTCGTTATAATGGAAGAAAAGCATTGAGGTGGGCGGCCCCCTTTACAAAGGCCTTTCTGATCGTCTCTCATAACATAAAGTTAGCGATGTTTTTGTAACTTTGGCGTTAACAATTTTTTTTTTCCTGAAATTTAAAACATCATTATCATCTGGTAAATGTTCTAAAGTCGTTACAATACTCGTTTTCTTAAATTTAAACAAAAAATGTTTAGGTCGTTAATATTTTTGTAATATGCGTGTATATAGTTTAAAGCGTTAATTTTTATATTGGTGGGTGTTCTTCCTTGAGAATAAGTCATTTTTATCGCCCTAAAAGAGGTTCTAAAAAAAAATTTGCATGAAGTAGTTGAAAATTTCGCAGAAAGCAAGATGTGTCTGTAAACCTATAAAGAGATTGTTTTGAAAAATCTGATGTCTGTTTATAGGCAAAAAAGTCGAGCAGTAAAACCATGAGGCAGATGAGTAGCTTATAACAGGTATGAACAGTTTTATATATGAGAAGTTTGTTATTAATATACAAATGGCTTCTTTTGCATATAAAGGATATAAAGCAGAAGATATACTCAATTTTTTAACAAGATAATTAATATGAGGCTTCTAGGTAAGTCTAGAGTTAATAACTACACCAAGGTATTTTATTTGCTTGCACCAAGGAAATCTGTTTGCGATAGCTTTAGGGCTTTAAAATTTTACTCTTTTTTTCCTTTTCTTATGATCAACGCAAGGCATTCGGTAGAGTTCATCGAAAATTTTCACTTTGCAAATCATTTTCAAGTGTATAAAGATAGGCCTACAAATATTTAATAGCTAGTGCAAGTTGATTTTAACAACAATACAATGCAGTGCCGTCAGCGTATGGAGCTCTGTCGGTAGGAGGGGAATGTGGAATGCACAAAGAGAGAAAAAGAAAGATGACAGTGGGAGAGCTTTAAGGGACTTCTGCTTTAAGGATCCTATGGCGGACAACTCTTCTCCTATTCGTACAACAATGATCTATTGCAAAGCATTATATACAGTACGCGCATAAGGTATTTTGTCAACTTGTATATAATTAATTTATAAATGAGTCCTCCATACCGTACTGTATCAACGCTTTTTTAATATCTAAATACAATAACTGTTGATTTTCTTGTAATTAAACAACAGAAAAAGTCACAAGGATGGTAAAACACTGTCCTATTTTTAAATTTTATCTCTTATATTGAACAAAACTATGCCTAAAAGGCGGCAACCCCTTGAAGCTAATGAAGTTATCTTCTATATTTTTTTGTGCGAATGTTAATTTTATTTCGGTACATTAACCACCAAATAAAGCATAAAGTTGCGTAGACTTGATTATCATAATTAAAAATCCTTCTTAGGTACCTGCAGTGGATGATTTTATTGCGCACATCCTCCATGGAATAGTAAAACCGAAAATGAGGTAGTCCGCTATTTAGAGAGATATGCGTTACAGAACCATTTGACTGTAATAGGTTATGAATCCAAATGGGCATTAAGGACAGACAATATTTAGCCTTACACAAAAATATATCCTTTAGCTTCAACGTCCACGCCATGGCATTAACGAGAACTTCGGATATGCTCGGCATAGTCGTTTTAAAGACAACTGCCAGCCAGTACTGATCGGCGAGCTGAATGAGCTCTCATTGGATCATCTATACGTCTTATTAAGATCAGGTGAGGGCGAAACTACGGCAAAACTCTGAACCGGATGTTCACGGGCAGGACTAAATTTACAGCTGCGGTTAAAGCATCGCTTTCCTTCAAACCGTCTCTCCCCCTCCTTTCCCCTATTAGAAGATGCGATTGATAGTTTGAGGACACACCGACGATTGCTCATAACGCGACAGCAAGCCACGAGCTTGCGTATTGACTAAAATGCCCGGTTGAAAAGAGCTGGCGACTTCACAACGGTGGCTGGGAGGCGAAACTGTAGCAGCTGACGAAGATATGGCGACGCCCTTTGCCGGTTACCTTGAAGTTTAGTGCGTTCCTTTAACTTGGGCTACCTTAGGGAAGAAGACGAAGGCATTATATGGCAAGCCTCCTTAATTGATAGCAACGAACTTCTAAACCGAGTATAGCTGTTGCGATCACTGTTATACTTCTGCACTTTCACGACGGAAAGCACGCGATCCCAACGGCAATACTAATGAAATGTTAAAAAAGTTGCCGGTGTTGGTTAAGGAAACCATCTTTCCAGTTTTGCAACTTCTGAAATGTCTCTTAACTTCTTCCTAACACAATCAAAATACAGCAACTGTCGTGATGCTACTTAAATCTGAACTAAAGGTGTCTAAGTAGTGAAGAGTTTGCAAATAAAAAGCTTTTTTTCAGGAACAAAGATCTTAGGCTATTAGCGAGTATCGTGCCATTAGCCTAATTTTAGTAGAAAGTAAAATAGTGGAGAATGTTTTACTACACCGACGGGAAGTTTAAATAAACGCACAAACTGCTTTTGGATTTTAATTAAAAGAAATCCCCGGTGTCGTTTTCTCGAAGTAGGCCTTCGACCGCGTATAGCACGATGGTTTTTTTTTACACAAATTACGGGCACTGGGTACGCTAGCCCTCCACGAGGTAATAACGTCGTTTCTTTGCGTACGCATCTTCTTAGTGAAGGTCGGGACCGCGCCATCGCCATACCATCCACCAACAGCTGCTGTTCCACAGAGCTCCTTGCTCTCACCACGGCTCTTCAAAGCTAAGGAAATTGCTAAAGTGGTAGCGAATGTAGATGTTAACTATGGTAAAAATGATGAAAAATTGTTACTTTAGTAGAACAAAATAATGAACTAACAATCTAAAAAGGTTAGTTCACGGGAAATGCTCTACTTATTCAATGAAACCTCAACCAACATTTATCTAAAGTTGTAAATTGCTCACGCATGGTTCGTCAAGAAGGTTAATATTAGGAGCCAAGGCTGGGCCTTGTTAGGGTGGTTTTCAGTTAGACAGATTGCCAGCTGACCGAGTAAAGTCTAAGTTAGTAGCCCTAGTCAGAGGTGTTTATTGTTTAATTCTCCGGATTACCTTGAGCTTAAACTCATTTAAAGAGCCATTGCTTCGGTAGCGAAGCGTGAGCTACAGCATTATTATAGCTTCAAGTAAGTTAAAAAGTCTAAAAATCGCTGTCCAGACCTATCGACCACTCGTTTACCCCCATGCGCTTCGCGCCTAGTGACTTAGAGTAAAATTTTACCCTACTGAATCCTGCTGTGTAGCTCACGCGCACGTTGCTTGTTTTGTATACAATCCAGAGAACTGATAGCCTACTTGAAAGTTTCTACTAGATTCTACAAAAAAAGTAGCGGGTTACTATGGACGAAAGCTTTTGACTAAGCTAACAGTCAGCTGTACTGCCTGTCGCAACTACACTCTAACCAACAAGTCAGCAGATCCATTATTGTAAACATTGGCTTTGAGGGGAGTTTTAGCACCTACGATAACTTTATCTAAAGTTGCTAAAACTCACCTTTTTTTCGCCAAATACTAAACTTGTGTTAAAATTGTATTAAAGTTGAATTTAATTGTTAGCTGGCACCATTGTATTTCGAGAGAAAATTTAAGGTGAAAAAGCTCTTGGCGAATTGCACTTAGGCTCCCTCTTAGGCTTATAAGTTTGGCTCACATCCTTCTTAGCTGTACAACTAATCAAAATTTTAAAGCGCTAATAAATTATACTTAAATTAGAGAAATTTATCTAATTTAAGTTAAATTCTTGTCTTCCCCTAGATAGAAGTAATCTTGGTTTTCTAACTTTGGCAATAGTTAAAATGGAGTTTTTGCTACCTCTTTATGAATCTCCTTCGTGTTGAGCCACAGCATCACCATAACTTCAAGGGTGGTGAACTGTACTCTGAACAATTGCTTCGCTAGTGAAGCGTGAGTTACAGCATCACTATAACTCCCAGCGTACCTTAATCTAGTACATAATACACCACGCGCTTTTTAGTCATAGTAATTAAACTAATAAAAAAGTACCACTGCGATACTAATAAGCTGACTGCCATTCTACAGACTCACTCTTCTAGCTATACAAAGGCTTCAGGAATCCTCTCAAGGTTAACGCAAGGTACTATGAAGGGTTACTAGACACTACTGAGTTTTTAGGTTATTGGACTCAGCATCCAATCCTTCCTTGGACTAACACAAAGGCGGATAGTTATGTGTTCACACCAAGCAGTTCGGTGGGGGCTAACATACAGCTATCCCCGAGGGGCAATTTTATCGACCAATTAGCTTGGAGCTTAGGGAAACACCGCTGAATGGCCTAAAGACCGATATAGTAACCCTCTTGAGTCGAAAGGTTCCGTGACTTTAGCAAAAATTATATAAAGTATGCTAAAGGTATTAGCTCTGGATTTGCATTAAATTCGTTGAAACAAACAACTGGAGACTCTGAATATGGTTTTCTAGCTTTGTCGAAAAAATTATCAGTTATCTTTTGCACCTACGTGAGCGCGGACTCAGGCGCGAAAAGTTAAAAGCAGCGCAGTGCTCGTGACATTACACTTCCTATAAATCCTTACATCCTCATCGATTACAACGCCAATTAATACTACATTTTACGCTTTAATAGCTGGAAACATTTGCCAACTAGTGCTGGCATTAATGGAAAGAAAAGCAAAGTAAATTCTCATCAAAAGAAAGCACTGCACTACCCCTCCTCTAACCTTGGTTAATATCTCCTAGGACTGGCCAAGTATTTGGACGTCAACATAAGCGACTAGTAACAACATGTACAATTTCTGCGGTTAAGATTACAGAGCTGTGACTTAAATGCTTTATCACTGGTTGTGTGCGAAGAATACATTGAACCCTGCACTATAAACATCGCTTATAAAAGTATGCGTGCGCCCTATAAAGGCCTAACATCGGCAGCTTGAACATATTGTTGGTAATATCCCAGGTAGTGGCTGTAAGGAGCGTAAATATATGTATAGGGTAAAAATATGTATAATATTTATTAGATATTGTATAACATGCATTAGAACTGCATATACTGATCGCGATGAGGCGAAAGCATGGAAAAATATATTATATTATCATAATTTCGTAATAAAAAATGTTAAATTACACGTAAAGTACGGCACCTAAAAAATATATTTAATTCGGTTTTTTAATATTTTCGAAATCGTTGTTATTTAATATTAAAAATTTTAATAGTAGAACATAACTTCGGCAATTCCTTCTAGCGCTTAAAATTATTCACGATAATTTAGGAAGAGCGAAGGCCTTTGCTAAATATCAAGCTAGTCAGTATAAACCTTTTGAAACTAAATAGGTGCACGAAAGAGGAAGGAGACTTATTTATGAAAGACACTCTTAAATATAAATATCTTCGGGTTTTTACCGTTGACATCTGTGCTAACTCAATTGTTTCTAATCTCAACAGTAGAAAAATGGTGTGTGTATTATATTTTAAATAGAGCAACGAAATTACTGAAACCTTTTCGAAAAAATAATTAATTTATTGAAATTCCAGGTTTTTTTTTAGTCTTATAAAGTAGCTAAAATATGGGTTTAAAAGTTTTTCTTACTTATGATGAGTATCTATTGTCCTATCAGTTTACTATTTTTTCTTAAAAAAGTATCAAGTAATAATTTTTATTAAATGAGGATTTTATTAAACCTCAACTTAATATCCATTGTCCTACTAGTTTGTTATTCTCTCCAGTTAAATAGTGATAACAATAAATTAAGACTTTTTTTGTATATAAACATATATAAATAAACCACTAAACATTTAAGATTTAAATTATAGCCTATCTTTTACTTATTTATAATATGAAATAAAATAAAAAAAACATTTAGATATATGCGTAATAAGGATAAAATTTACTCTTAAATTGTTTAAAAATTGTGCTTACTGGCTTAACCAACTGCCACGTCTCCTTTAGATTAATTACACTTGTTAGAAAAACTTACAAAACTTATGGTATATAAAAAACTTATGGGAAAGTTAAAGAAAATAGAAATTATAGAGAAGACAAAAAAGAAGCTTAAAACTATGAAATTTCAAATCCTCTCATCCATCAATTCAGCTTCAGCTTTTCTAGTTGTTTAAATTTTTCTCAGTTTTTGTAAATTCATTAATGTTATTAAGATGAGTTTAATTCGCTGCGAAAGATCATTAGCGTAAGCAGCTTATAAATAAATTTCTTTTGCGCCTCTCAGAATTATTAAAGAAATTTATAATATTAAATAAACTTTAGTATATTTAAGGAGTTACTGAATTTGTTAATTTCGAAATGTACAAAAGCTTATTTTTTTTAAATTGATTTTATTTTAGTTAGTATATAAAAGGCGCCAACAAAATCTAGTATTACAATATATTTAAAATTACTCCATGGTAAATAACAAAGGATTTTCGGATTGGCTGAGCGGGCGAGAGTAGCGTTGACGAACATAAGCAAACAAAAAACGTTTATTTTTTTGATTTAAAAAAATTTTTAATTAAGTTTTTTTTGCGATAGATGGAAGGAGTTATTATTGCAGTAATCCAGATTCGAAAAGGCCCCGTAAAGCTAATAATATAATCATTTAAGAAAAACTACTAATTTACTATACATTTTTTTAAAAACCTTGTAATAATGAAAGTTAATATAAAATCAGGCCGAAGCTGCAAATCAAAATTTAAATGTTCCTTAAAAATATCTTCTATCATTTTAAAAAAATTGGAGGCCTTAATTTTTCATAATAAGTACTAAAGTGGCTAAGTAACAAGATAAAAGTTTTATTACCGCGCTCATATTCTTAATCCAATTTTCAATGCCCAGTCCAAATTTTATGGACGCATAAATACAACCAAAAGTAAAAAGGTATAACAAACTATAAGTTTCTTTCAGATGGATAATATTTATTAATAAAAATATTTAAATAGGATACCACTATTTAGCTTACCCAAAGCGGTTACACTGTAAACTTTAAAAAGTTGCTTTATACCAAATCGTTTACAAGAATCCTCCGAATTCGACGCGCTTAAATTTAAGTTCTTATTGAGTATCCTACGAAGTTTAGCTGTTATTCTTAATATAACATGAGTGAAATTTTCTTAACTACTGTACCTATAACACTTGCTATGACACTGAATTAATGTATCAGAATATTTTATCTCATTACAGTTTTTCAGTTTTCTTGTTACTAAATAAAAGCAACCAAAACTCTTTAAAGGTACGTGAAATTTCTTAGTGCACATCGCAATCATCTTTTTTAAAAGAAAAGGAGTCAAGCAATAAAGTTTTTGAATTTATTAAAAGCTTGTAAATGTTAAGCAAGGTTTTACATTAATTAGTACTAAAAGAGCTACAAACTTTGAAATATTAATAGCGAGCCCCAATTAACTCTTTGCCCTTTCTCTTGGCTTAACATGGTTTCGTTTAGTAAACTACTCAGCAAACGTTATGGAAGACCAGGTTGACTAAACTGGTAATGAAAATGCTTGGCGGTATAGCAGTATATCAGATGTTTAAAAATATATATATAACAAAAATAATAATACAAGAAAAATTTTCTGTTGTTAATAAAGTGTGAATATATAATTTGACAAATATTTTTGTATACTTTCAGTATTTTAAGTTATGTTTTAAAAATAAATTATTATTAAATATTTTATTAGTAGTTAATTAGGATTATAGCTCTACATAACTGATTTTTTATTACAAAAGGTCACTAGTAATAATTTGATTTTAGGTAAGTAAAAACAATAAATAACTATATGCATGGAAAAATGCTTATCACGAAAAACTTCATTCGTTTTATATGCTGCTGCGCGTGGTACATAAATTAGTTAAAATTATAATAAGAACCTGAACTTTTATAATAAATTCTTACTTCATTATATTTCTTTGATTGTGTCGTTTTAAAAATTTCCCCTTGTTTTATATAAGCTTCTTATATAGTGTGGTTTAAAATTGTCAAAATACTTTAATGCCCTGTGTTCTACGTATAAGGCGTTTACAATATTCTCAGAACAAGTCTATGTGATGTAATAGTATTAATAAAAATAAGTTTCCATTCTATAAAACATTTATATTGCTAATTAAGTCTCCTTTCTGTTACTTATCTTAATATATATACTAATGCACTTGTTTATTACCTTCTTTCCTTTGACTTTTCGTTTTCAAGCAACTTAAATTCCTAATTTAAAACTATAAGTTTTTAGTTTTTTACTTATATTATTCTTTCGTTACCATACTAAATATTAAATCAAAATAAGATTTTATACTTATTCTTTAAAGTTGTTCTCCCTGTGAAAAAAAAGTTACAGTTGTCTATTGACTCAAATAGCTGTCTCTACCTTCATAGTAATTTGTTTTATTCTATAACTTAGTTATTAACAAATCTAAGAGTTTCAAATTAAACTATTTACTAAAAATTTTTTTTTTATGTGACAATTTAAAAGTTAACATTTAAGACTTATAACAAATACTTTGTCACTTCGTTGCTTTCATCTAATAGTTTAAGCTTTACGATAATAAAACTTTTACTTAAGTGTTTAATTAATAAAAGTTCATACAAGTAAAAAATATAATTTAAATCTGGCGTAAAGCGAAAATTTTACCAATACCAATTTTTATAACTACGATTTTTTTAATATTTCGAAAATTAAGTATCTTACTACTGTTTTTTGTTTTCGATTTAATAAAGATTCCAAAAAATCGTCTTTATTTACTGTACAAAGGCCTCAGAGTTTAATAAAGGTTCTTTTTTCTTTGACATAAATATAATTTTGTTTTAATGTATGTCCCTAAACAAACCTATAAAATATTTAGTACCTTCCAAATAATACTATTTAGCCAGCGACGAAAACGGCCGAGTTTTTTAAAGATTTTAAAAAAAAACTTTTTCCACTATAATTTAAAAACAATAGTAGTAACGTGATAATAGTATTAACAAAAAAAATTGGTATTAAGGTAAGGTTAAATACGATATGTGGTAATTAGACTTGAATTAAAGCCAGTGAAATTACAATTATCGTAAAAATAAGCGTTCAGAAAAAAATGAATGTAAGTCTACAAATTAAAATTCTAAGAGACCGTAGTTTCCCTTTAAAACGGGCTAAAAAAATAAAAATAAGGTGCTATATTTTTACTTATTTTGCAAGTCTTATTTAACCCTGTATTTAGAAAATAAATTTGTTCACGTGCAGCTACCCACTCTCTTGAAATTTAAGCTTTTTGTAATAATTAAAGCCGGCAATAGACTAAGGCCGTCATGGGCATTTCATGTGAAGTTAAAAAAAGTATAAATGGTGAACATAATGATTCTCAATCTTTAGGCAATAAGAAATACAGGAAGGATAAGCCTTGGGACACCGAAGGGATTGATCACTGGAAAATCACGCCATGGACAGAAGAAGATAGTAAATATCCTTTGCTTGAAGAATCTTCGTTTGCAACTTTATTTCCAAAATACAGAGAAAAATATTTAAGAGAAGTATGGCCTGCTGTTACTGCGGCGCTGAAACCATACGGTATATTATGTGAGCTTGACTTGGTGGAAGGGAGCATGACAGTTAGAACAAGTAGGAAAACTTTTGACCCTTTTATCATTCTTAAAGCCAGAGACCTTATAAAGTTATTAGCTCGTTCCGTCCCTTTCCAAAATGCTGTGAAAATTTTAAATGATGATTACGCTTGTGATATAATTAAGATTGGTAATATTGTGGGAAACAAAGAAAGATTTGTTAAACGACGGCAGCGTCTCCTCGGTCCATCAGGCTCTACTTTAAAGGCCATTGAACTGCTGACTAACTGTTATGTACTAATCCAGGGAAACACTGTATCAAGTATCGGATCTTATCAAGGATTAAAGCAAGTTCGACGAATTGTAGAAGATTGTATGAGGAATATCCATCCTATATATAACATTAAGGCGTTAATGATTAAACGTGAACTTGCCAAGGATCCTAATTTAAAAAATGAAAATTGGGATAGATTTCTTCCAAAATTTAAGAAGAAGAACGTTACTTCTAAGAAAAAAAACTCTAAAAAGAACAATAATACTATAACAGAAAAGAAGAAATATTCGCCGTTTCCACCAGCTCCGACCTTAAGTAAGGTGGACTTGCAACTAGAGAGCGGAGAATACTTTATGCGTGAGGAAGAAAGAAAAAAAGCTAAAATTTTAGCTAAGAAAAATAAACAACTGGAGAAAATTAAAGAAAAGAAAGAAGAACGCGAACGAGTTTTTCAGCCGCCAGAAACAATGGATGTTCAGAAAAAGTATAACAAAGAATTTAAAATAGCCCAAGCTGAACTCGCTTCAGAAATTAACGTGAAGGAAGTGGTTGAAAATTTAAAGAAAAAAGAAACAGTAAAGCGGGATAAAGGTTCTTTAAACGGTGATGAATATATTATAAAAAATCCAAGTTCCACAGTTAAAGGTAAAAAAAGGAAAACAGCTAAATAAAGTATTCAATAGCCTTAGTTATACTTAACTTTTTTATAAAGAAAACTTGCGAAACAATAATACTGGTTTTAGTTAATACTAAAAACGTTTAATTTAAGTAAAAATTTAAAATTGGTTTTATGTAGTTTACAGTTGGTTTTAATTTGTTATAAACGTTAGTGGCTTTTTATAGACATATTAAAAGTAATATAAGTTAGAAAGTGTTTATTTATAAAAAACAAGTTGTGAGCAATGTTTCGTGAAATGTAAGTGTTTATGTTTATTTTCTAGGAGGTGTGGGCGGATTTATTTGCTGCAAGTAATTAAAAGATTTAATCTTTTTTTCACTGGGCTTCAGTATCTTAATGAAAAAAATAAGTAATTAAATTTTACCTTTTATATATTTACCAAAAAAAGTTGCTTATTAAAATAATGTATACATAAAAGTTTAAAAAAAGATCAACGGGCTGGCGCACCAACTCTGCGGTCCAAATAACGTGAGTAGTATTTTAAATAAAAAAC